GTCACGACATGTTACACTAGAGGTCGTGAGAATGTTTTTAGCTACACACCACTTAACCAACAGACACACACACATTGATTTGCTTCATGTTTTGACTACTGCTATGACCAGCTGCAAAGCTGGTAACAGAGACGTCTCGGTTGACGTTTCTGTGTAGTATGGGGCTAGCCCAACCGAGGGGATATAATGTATAGGCCTGGTGGGTTCAGGGTTTTTTCATCTTTCATCTACCTGCGTGCAGGTTGGAGGTGCAAGATGCCTGAGCGTGTAATGTTAATTTTTGCCTGTGATCCTTTGAATAAATCAGCACTGTTTTGCAGTTACTTGGACTGCCTCGTCTCTCAGAGTCAGTATGGTAAAAAGTACCGGGTACAACAAACCCATCTACCACACCGATTGGACAATTTCACTATGCTCTGTGATTGGCCTGTCACTGTCCAATCAGATTCTTCTTCTATTGTTTAATGGCAGTTGGCAAACAGCTTTATGTGCGTTACCGCCACCTTCTAGACTGGAGTGTGGATCAGAACGGCCCCTACCTACTACTATAACAAAATAACCCCACTCAGTTCACATTATATTATCTTGCTTAACCCTGTGCTCTCTAAAAACCTAATAAGTGCTCTGTATCCTATATCCCCTGATCTGTGTCCATTCAGACTGAGGTGTGATTCACACTAAACCTCAGTACTCCTAAATAGAGTTGTATGTGCAATTTGCTACTTTCTGTCTGTACATAGATGTTCACAAATACATTAGTTTTCAGTATCTTTGTGTAATAATTTGTTTAGAGATTTTATTTACACGTTCATAAACGTTTTTACATACAAATCTTTCCTACACATGCTCAAAAAAATTGTGACCATGTACATACATTGCTATTTGCGCCATTAAATTGCCATTCATTTGACTAGCAGGCAGTAATGGGTCAGACTTGTTAAGATTGGTGTAATGCTGTGTGCCACCACTAAATGGCAGCCTTACTGTGTGCTGAGGAGAAGGAACAGGAAAAAGAAAAGTTACAAGACACGTTTTAGGCTTTAAGGCAAAACTGTGGCTTATTCCTACCACTTATTTTTTTAGATAAAATCTAAAACCACTAATCTGCAAGGACATACAGTAAAGCCACTAATGTTTACTATGAATAAAAAGGGCTTTCAAAGAGTATTCAAAAAATGGTTAATTACTCGAGATTTCAATGACACAGTGCTCAAGTAGGACATCTATTGGTTCATAGGTTGTTTGGGATTTGATTTGCCATGCACATTCCTGTTCGACTACACTACATGGTTGTATGGTTTCAAGCTGACACAATAAAATATAAAATATGAACATGAACTCATGTTGAAGACACTGTTTTTTATTTGGCACGTCTGATTGTAGTAGGCTATAGCTATATGCTTAGCCTGACATTTTCAATCAAGTCTAAATAACCCATAGCTTAAAAGATGTTGAATGGTGGGTGTTCAGTAGGCTGGAGGCAAATGTGATCTCATTTCAAATGTTTAATTGATGAGCCAAATAACACTGTTGGGAATCGCACTACGGTGAGCATCTGATCCCATCTTTCAGAAGGTTTCGAGCAGGAAGACAGAAACTTAAAATTCACTGTGTAGAAGTTGAACATTTCCACACCTCTTGAATTACTGCCCATTTTTCTGCAATTCAGTCTTGTGCCGTGTTCATCATTAGTTGGAGAATCAACCTGTGGTGGAGCAGGAAAAGTAATAAAGGCAAATCACCATGAGAATGCAGACAGCAGTGGACGGGATTGATGCAGGTGTATGGTTTGTTGTAAGACAACTTGCAGAATAAACTTAACTTAACAGAAGATAACTTTTAAATAGTATTTTTTGTGTTTGTCAGGAAACTAAACTGCTCCTAACATTCAGTACTATCCTATGTTGACTAAAAATAACAGGATGTATACATCACTTTGTTCTGGTTCCTTAGATATAAGCTACACTTGACAACGTGTGATAAGCTGCATTGCTAAGACTTGTCAAAGCAGCTGAAAACTGTAAATTCTTACATTTATCTCTGTACAGTATTTATTTGAAACCCCTCTTTATTCATACAAAATATTAGCAGTTTTAGATTTTATTTAAAAACTTTTCTTTTTCCTACACTGCACAATTATTAGGCAAGTGAGTATTTTAACATCCTCCAGTGCTGTCATATTCCAGAACTGTAACCTATCTGGAGTGCGCAGAAGTACAAGGTGTTCTATGCTCAGAGTCATGGCCGAGGTAAGGAAGGCTGAAGCCCGACCACCACTGAACAAGACACATAAGTTGAAACATCAAGACTGGGCCAAGAAATATCTGAAGACAGATTTTTCAAAGGTTATATGGACTGATGAGATGAGACTGACTTTTGAAGGAGCAGATGGATGGACCCGTGGCTGGATCAGTAAGGGGCACAGAGCTCCACTTAGAATCAGATGCCAGCAAGGTAGAGGCAGGGTACTGGTATGGGCTGGTTATTAAAGATGAGCTAGTTGGACCTTTTTGGACCTTTTTGAAGATGGACTCAAAATCAATTCCTAAATCTACTGCCAGTGTTTAGAAGACACGTTCTTCGAGCAGTGTTACAGGAAAAAGTCTACATCTTTCATGAAGACCATGATTTTTATGCAGGACAATGCTCCATCGCCTCCACTGAAGTATTCCACTGCATGGCTAGCCAGTAGAGCCCTTAAACATGAAAGACTGATAACATGGCCCCCTTCCTCACCTGACCTAAACCCTATTGAGAACTTGTGGGCCCTTCTTAAACAGGAGATTTACGGTGAAGGAAAACAGTACACCTCTCTGAACAGTGTCTGGGAGGCTGTACTTGCCGCTGCACAAAAAAGTGGATTGTCAACAGATCAAGGAACTGACAGACTCCATGAATGGAAGGCTTATGACTGTTATTGAAAAGAATGGTGGTTATATTGGTCTCATAATTTCTTATTTAAATGTCAAATATTTATTTGTAAGTTTTGAGTTTTTTGTTTATTATTCTCACTTTAACCGATGAAAATAAACAAGTGAGATGGGAAATTTATTGTTTTTCATTTAGTTGCATAATAATTCTACACATTAACAGTTGCCCAATAATTGTGCACACATAGACATTCTCCTAAGAAAGCCAAAACCTTACTTACTTTCTTAAATATTCAGGTTTATGGACATTTTGGATTGACCGAGAGCACTGTAGTTGTTCGATAATAAAATGAATCCTCAAAATACAACTTGCCTAATTGTGCACAGTGTATAGTGCCCAGATATAAAGAGATATACACAGGAAATGACTGAGATGTACAAACCACAGCACCGACTGACTGTAGATATTTGCTCAGCCTTTGATTTGGAATCACTTTAAGATAAGCACACTGGGCATCACCTGCTATCATGATCTCCAGCTCAGCCGAGGAGAGGTCTGTTGGGTCGGCCAGGAACATGTTGACATCTCCCACTGTGCACTGCTCCTCTTCTATACTGGGATCTGCCTATTGCTGTTTATCCAAGACGATGAATGTGCACTCTGGCAAAGAATAAAAAAGTCAAATTAAACAGCTTTTCTTTAAGTAAAAGTTGAATGATCTTACTAGTGCATGACCTCAGAAAGAATGATGTTTTATTTTCATATCATATCCAGTGATTACCAGTTATTCATAAACACTTTAACCTAACAAATCTGATGGATGATGGAATGTCTGGAAGGAATGATTTGGAAGCCATAAGGACAGAAAATTACTCCTGTGTTTCTAGTAGAAACCCTTTCTTTCTTTTGTTAATTCCAGCCTAGCCTCTGTGGGTGGCACTTGAGATGAACTGACTGACATTAGGCTCATGACAATGCAAACTAGAATGGTTTTGGACCAGTTAACTGCATCTCATGGTGGTATTTGTGTTATTGTTGGTTCATCCTGTTCCATGTTCATCCCTGAGAATGATGCTGATGCAGGAATAATACATCAGGCCTAAGAGACTCTGTGATGGCTGACAGGCTCAGTGGCACCAGCTTGGGACACTAGACTTGGTTATGCTCTTGGAAGCACCTTTTGCTCACAGCTAGTATTTGTTTGCTGACCACACTGATTCTTTTGTGTATTTTTACATCATGTGTGATTCTTCTTGTGAAAAAGTTGATTGGTTCAATGCTAGATGTTCATATTCCTCAATATACACAGATGCAATGTCAAGCCTATTATCCTGAAGAAAATGCTAATGCTTTTGCTGCCTTACCTTTTAATACTGAGGAGTAAGTCTAATTCTGTTAGTTTACCTCCCATAAGTTATTATAATCTAGAGGTAATTCAGAATTCTTCCTCTCCAGAATGTCAACAGTGTCATGATGAACTCCTGTAAACCAAACATGGGGATGGTGTTTTGATGTTCTCACTGTTATTGCATATTCATTATCATTAATGATAAAAAAGGAGAATATGTAGTGGAAAAGTTAAATTCCCACAGATGCTGTCTGCTCACACTCAATATGCTCAATGTTCTTATTGTCTATGTATTTGTACTGTTTAACTTTGTTTCCCTTTCCTCTGGACAGTTTCCCCAAAACAGTTATGTCTCTCAGACACTCAACACAGATTTAGTCTCTACACACACATACCCCTACACATACACACACACACACACACACACACACAGACATCCATTCTCTATTGACACACATAGCCTGGTTTCCACAGACCCAACTGTCTGCCCAGCTGCCTATCTAGGAGATACCTATGAAGTGTCTAAGACACATTTCTGATTGGTTCCAGCTAGGGAGCGATAGTCGTCTGATGTTATATAAAATCTGACTGTAACTTTTGTCACTCACTGACTTTTTGCACTGAATGTGTGACCTCTTGATCAAGATACTGGTAATGTCTTATGCTACTGTCTGATTTGGTTAATAAATTACAGAAAGACTACCTGAGAGCCTCCTTATTGATTTCCACAAAATCCAGTTATTCACATGAAAAAATCTAAGGCTAAAGGCTAAGTCTGGCAAGCCTTCAGACTTATAACAACTGCTTTAGAGGATGAATAAGAGCATGTTCTTTGTGTACATTTACTCCAGAAGAAGTCTTACATGACATGTTCCAGGGTCAGTGGCTCTGAGGCAGTCGGATGCTGCAGCTCAGGACACTTCATCCATTCATGATACCTGAAGAGTGTAAACAGGTAGATAAGAGACAGAGACTGCAGGTTTCTACAGCTTTAACTTAATCATGTATCCAGATGTCAAAGGACTGGAGCTGGTTCTGCTGTGCCAGTTAAAAAGACTTCAAACTGTCAAAGGATCAAAAGCTTGTACTGAAAGCTGGGTCACCTGTCCTAAGTTATTCACCTTGTGCCAGCATGGACAAAGAGCTTTCAAATGCTCCATGACGAATGAGACTGTATGATACGATCGAAAGCTCCAGAAAAGCTTCTAAATGGAACTTGTGATGAGATTATTTTCTCAACATTATTAGATTTATTAGACTTATTTAGAAGCCAAAATAAAACCCATGCGCCATGTTTAAACATTGATAATAAAGGAATGACATTCAAACACTCATCACTAAAGATATCAGCAGAGGAAAATAAAAGTAAACAGTGACAGGCTCCTCATGTGTAACAAGACTAATCAGGTGTTAATGTTAACGTCACCTGGTCACGTGGTTTGCATTGTAAGGAACCAACACAACTTTGTGTCCCTCCATTGGTGTTCGTTTATCTTCATGGTGCCGAACCAGACACAAACACCAATAGGACCGATTATAATAATAAACGAAATTCATCCCTTCTACGTCCCATTAATATATTATAACAGCTGGATACCGAATTACAAGATGGAAACCATCCTTCCCACGGATGTATTAAGGGGTGTCTGTATTATGAGAACGTTTTTTCATAACATTAATACATTCATTTATTCAATTTATTTTCCCAACTGAATGTTCCTCGCCTGGCGCACACGACAGATTTGTTTTTCTTCCGGGGTTGCTTCCGCGGTCTAGGCTCTACTGCACATGCGCACTAGGGGGCGGTGGGGGAGAGCGGCCGAGCTATCAGGCTCCAGCGTTGAAATATCTGCACATACTGACAAAAGTAAAAATCATTTCAAACACATAAATATAGTGCAGCCCTAATAAATATTCTTCCGCAATCAGCATCCACGTGCATTTTCTTCAGGAAATACATTTGTCTAGTTTGTTTTGTGCCTATAACTGTATTGTTATTGACTACATTTATAAAATGTTAAGTTGAACGCTGAATATGAGACTAAATGACTTAGACGTTTGTTGCACTGAGAGTAAAAATACAACAGCACCTGATCTATAAATACTGGCAGAGATGAGGATTCCTACTTTAGTTAGCTTTGACCTATTTAGAGTAAGCTGCAAGTTTTGGGAGCAGAGATCCACCTAACTATTTTCTACAAACGGGACTGCAAAATGTTCACCAAAAACATTTGTTGCACAAATCATTGCTCAGTCATTTCAAACTGCTTCTTCTTTTCCTCCCTGCAGCACAGAGACATCACTAACTCTTCACTATAAGACAGGATGTGTTGATGTGTCACTGACTCATGTCTGCTCATGTATGTGGGAGGTTTGTCACCAAAAATTACCCTATTAACGCAACTGCAAGGAATGGCTATGACTGATGTTTTCCACAAGCGTTTTAATTCCAAAAATAAATCGATGACTAGAAGAAGGTCTGTGGTTTTTCACCAAATTAGAAACAAGACTGCAGCACCAATAGTCAGCCTGCCTTTGACACTAATTGTGAATGGGTTTGTTTTCTTTGGTTACAGTCTCCAGCTCTCTGCTCAGGTATCGTGCGTCAAGCCTGAATTTATCTTTGAATGTACTAAAGGATCAAAAGCCATCTCCCTTTGTTACCTTGCAGCTCTGGTATGTTTACACGTCATGTGTTTGTGTAGCAGCTGAAAACACCCAGACAGGTCTAAAGAAACAGCCTCCAGATCACATCATATCATGTCGTGTTCCTGTGAAGACGCAGACCATTCAGGAAAAACAGGTTTGAACACATTCATCTTACCTCCTCCTCCTCTTTCTTTTCTTCCTCTTGCTCTTCCCTTGTTTAACTACAGCCAGACAGTATCTTCAGATGGTTTAGTTGACTGACTTCTACCAGGCTGATCATGACCTCCTCGGAGCCTTTCTCAGTCCTTAATGAAAGGCTGAAACCTCGATTCACCACCAGTGAACAGCTCTGCTCCTCTCTGAATAGACTGGAGGACAGACAGTCGAGCTTGCTCAGGAGCAGATTTTCATCTTACCAACCAACACATCGGCCAGAAGAACCAGAACCAAAAGTCTCTGCAACCATACCAGAGCAAGAAGAGCCAGAGGAAAATGAAGGCAGTGCAGAGCAGGAGGATTTGGTCTCTGATGACCTACAAGAAATGAAATTTTCTGATCTCCTGCCTGTTTCCACCTCATCCCTCCTCACAGAGCTGAATTTAACAGATGTGGCTGAAGAGGCTGATGACGACAGCGGCTCCTCACACTCTGAGGAGAAAGATGGTCCAGGTGAGCTGGCCACAGAGGGTACAAGGGACTCCTCCAAGTCAGTAGCATTGGCTGGTGGAGGGGAGAACTCCATTCAGAGGAAGTACATTGATGGGACTTTACCAGACCTGATAAACAGCGGCAGGCCACTGGGCAGACGCAGGACAGTGGGCCATGTCTCAGTCACGGTAAGACTGCAGCTTTTTAATGTTTGTCTGTTTAAAACAATTTTTGGTGTCCTGGAAAAGTTTATTTCATAGGGCATGAATTTAATTTGGGAGTAAATCTGACTTCTACAAAAATCACAAAATTAAAAATGCAATGCTGTTTCCAGGACACTGCTGAATCTTGTCCCTCAACATAATGAAGTATGAACTGAGCATAGTAAACTTCAGTTTGCAGTGAACAACTCTTATGATTTGAAATAATTCCACTTTATCACATCAGGATGACGTGGTTAGATCTGTGGTTACAAAATGTTGATGGAAAATGTTTTGTGCTTCATAGCTTTCATTATTCAGTTATATTGGTGTGTCTTCAAGTGTGTTTCTGTGAATGCATTCCTCTGTGCATACTTGCACAGTTTGTACTGCGAGTGCCTAGCAACATCACAGCTTGTACAACTGGATTTGTTATCTACAGTTTCAAACTAGATTAGCAGTTTCTGTTTACATTGAAACAAGTGTCACGGGGTAGTGTTTCCTGCATGTGGGCCTACAGTTATCAGGACTAGGACAAAAAGGTGAGGGGGGGGCATGCCTTGATAAAATGTACTCATGTGAGATTTTCTGTGTGTAGCTTAACGAAGTGCGCAGAGAAGTGGAACTTTCTCGGAAGAGAAGTATCAGGCTTAAGGCCCAGGTGGACAAAATACAGGAGAGCAGAGATGGAGTCGGCTGGAGCCAACACAGGGAGAGGGTAAAGGCCACACACAATGTCAGGACATGGTGTACATCTGCACAACTTGACTGGATTATCATTATTTCTCTCTATTAATGCCTGCACCAGGTCACAGAGGAGGTCCTGTCCACTCTGCGGCTGCTGCACCCGCTGACAGAGCTCAAGTCCATGCCACCTGAGTGCACTCAGGGGGGAAACTGCCTGGATGCTGCTCTAGCACAGCTGCAGGTGGTGGCCCGAAAGCTTGCAATCAGCCACACCAAGCAGGTGAAGGCAATACCCACATTATTGGACATGTTACACAGAGGAATATTGGCTTTGCATGTATTCATGGAACTAAAGTGGAAGATGATTCACATATTTTGAGTTTCTCTCTATAATCTGACTGTTTTAACATTTTACAAGTCTTCCTTATTTCAAAGTGCTTACAACAGCATATTACATACAACATATTTTTAGCAAAGAGTTTGTATTGTCAAACAGGAAGTTCTAAAATAACTCAAGGCCTGTATATAGATATTAATAGTCATGTGAGAGACATCCACATTGTTCCTTTGAAAAGACCATTCATTTCTTCATGCAGGTGGAAGAATTAAGCTATGTGGCCTGACATGTTTATAGGTGACAGTATCAGTGATCTCAGTACTTCTGGCATTTGGTGTATGTTAGTCTGGAATTTAGGGAGTGTCACAAAATGTTGTCACTGATGGTGTGGTTAGATTTGCATACTGACAAAAGAAAAAAAAGAGAATGCATAAAATGACATCTTTCCACCTGCTTGCATGTCCATTCAGGATCTCAAACCTGGAAAAGGAGAGGAGCAAAGTGCTATTCTGGAGCAGGCGCTGCGGGACAGAGATGAGGCCATAGAGAGGTGAGCACACAGTCACATCCTCTGAACAGCAGATGAATCAAGGGGAAAAAAAAACATCGAGGAAAGATGTGATCTATTTAATAAAATGTGTCATCCTTTCTGTTCCGCTGTGCAGGAAGAAGGCGATGGAGGCTGAGCTGCTGCGGAGTAAGACAGAGATGATGATGTTGAACAACCAGCTGCTGGAGGCCGTGCAGAAACGTCTGGAGCTGTCGCTGGAGCTTGAGGCCTGGAAGGTAAGCCTGAGTTTACTCTTTAACAGAGATTTTTTTTACAAAGAGTAATTGGGAAAGGTACAAAATAGAGATGTCCTGAAAACTAGAACAGGTGCTTAATTAGTGTTCAATCGACGTTACTTGGACAAGCTGCAATTAAAATTCACACACTTTACACTGAGCACATGCTGTTCAGCTGATATCCTGCCAGTGTTTAGGCCACAGGCCCATGTGCTCATCTGGAACCCTGTAGCACCAAACTGAAACTACGCTGCACCGTGCGTGTTCACTGGTAAGAGCAGCAGATGTACACATAAACTGCTGTAAAGCGAGAAGTATTATGCTTGCATGTGTCAGTGCCCCAGTGTGCCATGATGGCCTAAATTTCAGCCTTGCATAGTTTTTGTAATTGACAAAACATATGGATTTTTTTTATAAGTGTTTAAAGAAGTGCTGGCTACTTGGAGCTAAAATAGCTAACTCTTAGTATCATTGTTACAGAATGTCCATCAGTCAAAGCTTCCTTTGTATATGATTATATCTTTTATTCATCAAACAAAACAACCCCCACCAGTGCCTGCAAATATGGCTATGATTATATTAAACTATTTTTCTATGAGAATAATAAATCTTCTCATAAAATAATTAACTAGGCCCATATCTTTACATTACATATATACGTACATTTTTAATTTTGTTTGAGCCCTCCCTTTAATAATTGCAGTCCCTCACTGTGTAAAATTTAGCATATCTCTCGCCATTACTGACTGAAAGAATCTGAGATGGTGTAATCTAATACTAACCCTAAAAAAGTTACCGAATATGCACACTAGACGATGAATTTCAAAATTTATGGTAAACGAGACTGAATATTCCAGCAGATATCTAATTTAGAATAAATGAATATTAAATACAAGGCTAATCTTGAACTATAATATAGGCCAGATTTTATAAAACGTTTTGTTTTCATGCAGACTGAATGAAGTTGTAACAATTGCTGGTAGAGATGAGATATAATCATTTGTCCACCATTTCTATTTTTCAATATAATGTGCGTCTCATAACTGACATTTGGCCCTACTCGGTAGCTGAAGGTGAAAACAGTGACAGGTTTACTGTCCTTGCGGTACAATAAAGGGCAACTTTATGACCCATTGTGCACACAAAATCCATCATTTGTGACAACTGAATACTTTTTGAAATTGGCCGAAATATTATATTATTTAGGCTGATTAAAAATGTAATGACCCCCCACCCTTCCCCAAACATCACTCTGCACTTCTGTAGATTTGAAGCTGCATTTTTTTTAAGTTGGTACTTCTGGCGCTCTGATATCCTGTTTGTTTTCCCCGACTTGCCTCAGGACGACGTTCAGCTTATCCTCCATCAGCATCTGCAGAGTCAGCAGCAGGCAGAGCAGAACCACAAGAAGTCCACCCGCCTGGGTATTCTGAGGAGAAACAACAAACCACCCATCCAACGACCGGCCAGCTTCACTTTGCCTGCACCCATTCCTCCTACAGTCAACTCGAACCATATCTTTATCCCGAGATCTGCGGTTCCTTCTGCGGCGGCTCCCAGCACGCCTCCCCCCGTCAGCTCCCCTCCCTCCATCAGCTCCCCACGTACCTGGAGGAGCAAGCTGCGAAGGGGCAAGAGTAGTCGTCATGGAGACCAGGATACAGAGCGGGGCAGTGACGACAATGGCTTCCAGGTCGTATCACTTGATTGAAACAGAACTGCACAACTCTGATGCTTATCAATTTAAAACTCACCTCAGTCAAAACACTTCTCACAAATTTCTCCTGGTTTGACTTTCACTGTGCAAAATGATGTACGTGCAGGGGTGACCACTAGAAGGTGGCTTTCATACATCTTGTTCAAAGGGGAGTTTCACTGTGCTCACCTTGAATCTGAGTTGAAGACGAGTACACAGGAGCAAGATTTGTGACAACTAAGCTGCTTCCCAAGTCTCTTATATGGTCCATGTTACCCTCGTGACTTTTTGCAAACAGAAAAAAATGCAAGAAATGTAATGAATGCTTTTTTTTGAGAGAGAGAGAGAGATGACATCCTTTCCTTCATCTGTAGTGTCCAATCACCAACTGATTTCTGATAGACTTTAGTGAAGTCTGCGCTCGTGCATCCTCGCTCATAGCGCCACCAGCAGTCCCCTCGCTCCTCGGAACAAATGAGTCTCAGGACATCCTCAATCCTTGCTTGACCAGAATTACTTCCTTGTCGAGGAAGAATTGATGACTGATCACATAGAGAGACATGAGAAGCAGCCTTGGTCTTGGTTCATTTAAGCAGGAGACATCTGTCCATCACTTCCACTTTCAAAACAATATTTGCAGTTCACAGGTTCTGGATTTTCAAGAAGTAGATGCAATTTAAGACTTTTTTAACGAGGTGCTTGAACCTCTTGTGGAAAAACAAAGTAGAGTTTAAATATGTCTGTAGGGAATCTGCCTTTTTCTGTATTAACAGTATTTTCAACAATCCCCACAACTAGACTTAAACCAACAGTGAACTGCCTCTACTCACAGTCAATGTCTTGTCAGTCTCCAACCTGGATCAGCTTATCCGTCTGTGCCACAGACCTCTGTTGTGCAGAAATGATCAATAACACATTAGTGGAACACACCGCTGTCTTGCTACTTCAGATGCTGTAAAAGGTTTGGCTGTTTGGAGCATTTGTGGCAACATTTTCAACAAATATGCTGGTCTGGTGCTTTGTAATGAAGAAACATGTCACCTAGTGCAGCGGTGTGTTCTGCTGATATGTTTTAATCATTTTTAAAACAACAGAGGTCTATTGGCACAGACGAATATGCTAATCCAAGTTGGAGACTGACAGACATATACTGTGAGAAGAAGGGATTAAGTATTGGCTTGTCTCTGCATGAGGATTGATGAAAATACTGTTAATACAGAAAATGACTGACCTTATCCTTTAATGTACATTTTTGATCTTTGGTGTAATGTATGTATAAATTAACTGATTGTGAATGAGCAATGTATAGTTTAATACTGTAAATAGTTGTGAAGTGAATTGTTGTCATGCTGTAAATAATTGAAATTCTTATAGAAACTGTCAGAGCCACTGTCACATCACTTTTGCTTGTTGCATTTTCAAGTCTAAGGAATAAAAACAAAAAACTTTGTTGTAGATTTATGCCATTTTAATGAATATCAGTTTGTACACTTTCATTAATATAGAATCCACTCCTATATGCGTCTTGCGCACATTTAAAATGTATATATGCCATTATCTAGAATGAGTGGCAACATGTTCAGCAAACTGAGACAAATTTAGCACAGCAAAGTCACACCTGATGACAAGAGAGAAGGCATGCTTATAGTGAAACAATATACAGTTGTAACAGGTGATTACAGTCTGAATAACCTATACTGTTTATTCCCCTTTGAGATTCTGTCCCACTGCAACACTACAGAAGCTGAAGGGCCTGCACTGTCCAACCCCAAATAATCTATTAATACTGTGCAACAAGACACATCCACCCTGCGAGTGAGGACAACAGGGGCGCTCCCCCACTGACTGGAGCTTTATAAAAATAAAATATTCAACTTCATTCTGGTCATCTAAAGCATTTCAGACTTGTGTATTCACATCAAATCAAATGAACTTGAAACACTCACTGCAGTAAACATTGCGCCTCGTCTGTTGAGCTTCCTTGTGAGAAAATTCACACAAAACTGGCAAGCCAGCTGCCAATCTGAAGACTGCTAGATATTCTTGTAGGGTAAAAGGTTTTTATATCAGGTTGTACAGAAATGGAAAAGAAGCTCTTGACAAAAGAGGCACATAGAAATTCACAACACCCTGCTTATTCACACTGATGGCAGTTTCACTACTGGACTGTACTGTTCAACCCCATGGACACAGAAACAACATGACTGTTACAATTAGATAACGTACATTGTTGCAGCATATAACTGTGAAATACCCACATAACTTTGCGCCGCACTTGTATAGATAAGTGAGATACAGATAATCGTTAAAACATCTTTCATCAAAACACTGACTGGACTGAGCGAATACAGACACCACGACGTTACCAAGGCTTATGGCCCAACAGACACAGAAGTAGTACAAGAGTAGAATATAATTATTATATCCAGTCATAACCTGAGATATTCAGGAAACAGGTTGTGACAATGCTGCATTGAGTGTTTCAGCTTAGCTGTCATAGACCAATTATGTTGGCATAAAAATAAAACCAGCGCTCTCAGTGACCTCGAGTTGTGACGGCACAACCGATCAGTACAATCACCTCCGACACACAGAGGAGAGGATGTCGAAATTAAAAGTCCCAGACCAAAATACTCAATGTACAACCACTGTCAAGTCCTACATCAAAACATCTGTTCACACACAGTCTGTGTTACAGCCTCCGTGCAGAGCAGGAGTGTCCTGACAATAAACTGGTTCTGCTTTCCACATTCTTCATGTCTCTACAAGAGGAGCCTCTCATATTTTACAGTATTTGTTTCATTCTAGTGCTGTCAGAACTTTTATATCCCTCCATAAGACTGCTGGTCCACCTCAGCAGTCCCAGATTGTACTTGGCATTAAGCCGTGTTTCTATTATACTGGCATAAATGTATCTACATAAAGAACACTGTGCAAATTTCTTTGGATTAGTACATTGCCCCCATAAAAGCTGGTTAGGTTAAACTGGAGATATATTCAATGCTATTGACTACCTACCAACCTAAAAATGAATGAAAACACATCAGGAAACCTGCCGGTCTAGTTACACTATCTGTCTGGCAGAGAAACAAAACTAAAATTCACCTACACTACACTACTCTACACTAAGTGCGACACTGTTAAGAGATGACTGTAAAAGGGTGAGATTGGTCCGGTGTTGACAGATATTAGCTTCATTAATGACTCCATTCGTTCTTACTCAAACCGCTGAATTCTCACCTTCCTCTTCGGGGAGGGGCTGCTCAGAGGAGCTGAGCACGCAGATGTACTGAGGTGTCAACAGGAGGCAGCTAGGAGTGAAGGAAGGAGATGATGGAGCTGATGAAATCTAAGGGTTTGTCTGCGTGGATCCAGTGGCTTGCATCTGGTATGTACTGGATATCGGCGTTGGGGAACAGCCTCTGGATTTCTGGGTAATCTTCGGAGCTGGATCAATAGTGAAAATGGAAGGAGACGAAGGTAGAACAGGGTGATTTCATCTGAACCACAGCTGGTGTGCCACTGTATAAGCATCAGTAAGGAGCAACCAAACATCTGGAGGTACCTTTTCTTCTTAACTAAATGGTACATTTATTGTAATTTCTATTTAGTTCATTTGAAAAATTAAATGATGCTAATAGTAACAAAGACTAAACCAATCTTGCCAAGTTTGTTAAAATAACATCAATCTTTAAGAAGCTTTTAAATATTTACTAGTGTGTGCTCACTTTCTCAACTGCATCAGTGGGATCAATAAAGTCCTACCTACCTACCTACCCACCATATTTATCTGTTGCATTTCAACTAGCAGCACTTAGAATATTTATGCTTTTCTTCCTTAATATAATGAATTTTCCAGAGGTTCATGAGGTCAATGTAGAATACAGAAAAGGCTAAAGGCTCAGTATTACCCATGATTTTTAATCAAAAGCCAAGTTATGGACATACAATGCAAATAAGTTTAGGCCATTCATGCTATAATATGAAGCATTTTCTGGTAAATGCCATGAAAACAAACAGTCTGTGCCTGTGACGCTTCATACCTGATATAGGCCGAACTGGTTCCACCCAAAAACAGCGTAGGTCCCTCATAGACGGTGTTAAAGCTGGGGAAACTAATGAGGTCATCAAGGTTAGCCGAGATGGCTTCCAAGTTGACCCTCCAGCCGTAGTGTCCGTTCAGCTCCACCAGGTTGGTCAGCAAGAACTGACGTACCGAGTGCTCCTGATGGAAAGAAGGATGGTTTATGACTTCTCTGCTTCAGTTTGACTATAATCAATACTTCACATTAAAAAAGGGTCAGATGACTAATTGTAGGTGAAGAGAGTTGCTAATAGTAATGAACCTACAGAAAAATTATGACTTGATTTTACACTATTTCACAACTTCTAGCTCATTGTTTTTTAGCCACAGCACTTAGCTGTTTTCAGTCAAACAGGTCTAAAAATATAACTTGCTTGCAACTGGTTGCTAACAAAGTTTAGATGATACTTCAATATTGTTTTCACAGTTTGTTTCTGCTGACCCCAAGTGGCCAAAAAGTAAATTACTGGATTAAATGTCAGATACAGGAAACTAATACTTGACAGAAAAGCTAAAGGTGCACTCCTAACAAACTAACATGGTTTTTTGAACTTTAAAAAGTTTAATTTGCTGAAGAAGTGCTGACATGTACTTCTGATTTCAGGAAATCAAAATGAAGCCCTGACCTTGACCAAAGTGCGCAGCTGATCCTCAGCCATTCGCCTAGCGGTGGAGCGTGGGATATCACTGGAGATTTTCACCTCCTGCATGGCCTTGATGTAACGGTGGAAGTTGGTGCGTGTACTGGACTGGGCTGGACTGATATCCACTACCACCAACCTCTCCACTAAACTCGGCTACAATCAGACAGACAGAGAAGCGGATTAGGAAAATGGCCAGAAGAAGAGAGAAACAAAAAGATGACAAAATGGGAACAGGACAGCACAGGGGGACTGTCCAGTGACAAAGATCAGGTGAGACCCAGAGAGGAAATTGTCGTGTTATGATAAATTCATGGTGACATTTCTCGACTACTAACCTGGGTCAGAGCAGTCATCATGGCTGTCTTTCCTCCCATGCTATGGCCGATGAGGACACACTTCTCGATGTGTAGCTGAGCGAGGAGGTGTTTCAAATCACCGACCATCGCATCATAGGTCAGCATTGGACTGTGAGGGCTGTTGCCATGGTTACGGGCATCTACAGTCAGCACCTAACTGGACAAAGAACAGTTAGATCACTTGGAATCGGGGAAAAGAAGCAACAGAACGTGAAGAAAAAAAATAAACTTTTATGCTGGATTTTTTTTTTTGGGGGGGGGGGGGGGGGGGAAGCGTAGGACAACAAAAGCACAAACAAGGGTTGCATTGTGTACAGATGAGGGGTTTCCTTAAGCAAGCCAAAGAGCAGATTATATATCACTGAGTATTACAACAGCACAGACTGCTGATTGTAAGTTCCCATGCCTGCTTTTCTAAGAGGTCTAGTTTCAGGCTGCTGAGAACAAACACAAAAAGACTAATTATATTTGTGGTAACAACAGACAGGTGTGATGTCTTCATCACTGCATTACCTTTCGACCTGTGCGCTGCACCAAGGACTTCGCGATTGAGTGAAAGTTAGATTTGCTGCCAAAGAGCCCATGGAGAAACACCAGGGGAGTACTCTCTCCCTTCCCATCCAAGACATCATAGGTCAAGTTGAGTGGGCTGGAAAAGAACATCCCTGCTGATTAGTTAGAGTCTCCCCGGTTACGTCTGAGGTGAGAGTTATATCACCGCTGAGACAGGAACAATAATAAATCTGTGTAATGAAACTCTGCACACTGATGGAACTTTCAGGCAGTGAAGATTATGTTACTGTATGGAATCATACTGCTGCCACCATGAAAAAAAATATTTGCTCAGTTTCTCATTCTAACAAAATACTTTTCTCATTTTTACAAGATTACATTACATTATTACAACAAACTGAATCTTATCTTACAAAGTCAAATATTGTTTCAGATTTATAGCCCAAAGAACCATTTCATATGCTAACTTGCACACACATTCTAGAGTGGATCAGGTCATTTTGACGACCTAATGTGAGCCTGCACAGCTTGGAATGAGTGAACGCAGCGTGCATGCTGACTTTACCTGCTGTCAGTAATGCCTGTAACATCACCAGGACACATGCAGGGTATTTTTTTTTAATTCATAATGGCTCATGTGCTATTCTGTGTGCCTATATGAAAATATTGTGCGTGGGTGTGTGCGTCAGAACAGTTACTTTTAAAGACTGGATGGAGCACACCTCCTAAGCACAATGCTGGTCAGTGTGTGGAAAATTGGTATGTGAAGCTGTTGAACTGGATGAACTTAGGTGGTCTGTTCCGGCCAGAGCTATGCAGAATGCACCGCAAGGGGCAGGCAGTTATTGGCAGGCAGAACTTGGCATAACACCAGTCGTTGAGAATAACTGTAGAAATGACATAATCCACTCTAGAGTGTGTGTCATCATATCAGATTCTTAGGGCCATAAATTTGAAACAATTTTTCACTGAAGTTACCACAGTATATTGTTATTACAAGAAAATTCAGTACAGATACTTTATTGTTGTCACTGCATCATAAAAACACAACAAAACTTTGTCTGGGATCAACTCCCTGTTAGCAGAAATTGTCTAATATAGTAGACCATACCAGATAAATAAATCAAATTCCAGTCATAAATAGCTCAAATTTCAAAATGCTGCAAGCCAGAATAATGTGAAAAATACAAAGTTTTAACATGAAAGTATCTAAAATCTTGTCATCAGAATATCTTGTTATCATGAGAAAAGTTTCTCATGATAACAAGATATTGAGCACTTTTTTTTTCATGGTGGCACCAAAACTGCCTTAGGACTGGCTTCAGCTGACAGTGAAAAATAACTGCAGAGCATCTTTCTTTCCTATTTTAAGCTCTGCCTGATTCAAACTATATATCAGGGAATATTATTCAAACAGAGAAAGGCAGTGGCAGTGTTGCTCAGTGGCTTATGACTTATTTGGTTGGAAGTGTCTTGCTCTCACCTGCTGACACAACTGAATTTTTTAAGTTAAAGTAATGTTTTATATTAAAACTCAACTTACAATGATATAAATCGCAGAAAAAATGAGCATTTGAAAAGCTAGAGCCAACAATTATTCATCACATAAGTTATATTTGTTTGACAAATCACTTAAAAGAATAATCTTCTGTCAAAATAATATTTTCTGCTTATCAACTACGGCCTAATCAGTCATTGAAACCCAATGATGATTTTTAAAGGGCTTTGTGATGACAGATGAATCTATTTTTTTTTTTTTTTATCTCACCAAAAACTGAAAGCTGTACTTCTTACAGATTTACAGTTAGGTGCTAATATACTGGACTGCATTAGCTAACTATTTTCAGTAATAAGTCATCTGATTAGTATCTTGATTTATTAAAACAAAATAAGACATTTAAGTGGCTATCAGATGGCTGTCAAGCTAAAAATTTGCACCACTAAAACATCAACTATCCTCCATCTTGTGGTCTGGGCCTTGAAGAGAAACTGTCAAAGTCTAGTTTTTATACCTTAATTGTTTCAGTGTATACTGTCTTTTATAAATATTTACTGTTTTCTGTGTGTAAATAACAGAATACCTGAGGCAAGGTCATACTGATCCATTATCAGAACTGTAAGGCTGCAAGCAAAAATCTTTTTATTATCAATAGGTCTGATAATTATTATGGCTCAGTGTATAAAATGTCTGAAAATGGTGAAAGGGCCAATCATCTCTGAAATGAATGTATTTGAATTGAACCCAAAATGTTTACTACCATAAAAAAAATTCTTAAACCAGCAAAAATTCACATTTGAAAAGCTGCCACCTGTTAATTTGGGAATAAATCAATAATCATAACTGTTGCAGTTCATTTTCCATCGGTCTAGAGTACTGGTTAGTGGGGCACCTTGATCAAATAACGAACCTTCCATAAATGAAGGGGGTCAACAAGGGGCCCAAAAACAAACAGCAGGGTAGCCCTCTTGCTAACAGGACATCTGAATGTCATTTATGTTGACTGTGTAAAGTTAACGATTAATAAAGATGCAAAGACACGACAGAGTGATATATTTCTAACGGTTAAGTGACTGGCTCCCTTAAAACAGAAACACTTAGCACCACCGCACCACGCTACACCTCAGCCAGACAGAGGGTCAGTTAGCCGTTGAGCTAGCAGGGATACCTGCATGAGCTGGCGGTCCGGAGGCAGGGAGCCACCCCGCACACATCCTGCTGTCCGGGGAATAAACGAAATGACGACCGGCCGCTCAGTAGTCCTCTGTGGATGAGACGGCACAAAGCACTCATGGCAGCATATGCTTTGTTAGCAGGCCGTTTGCAAACAGCATGCGCGTTTTAAAACAGCCACAATAAGAGCAAAGTCTACACGCACAACGCCCCGGAGGTCGAAATTGCTGCGCTTCAGCGTGTCAACAGCTGATGGTGCGTAGTGACGTAACGTACGTACGTGACGCTGTTACTCCCCGAGTTTCGTCTGTCAGGCTCAAGATAGGTCTCCGCTCATTGGGTGATCTACCAGTACTTGTCTTGTCAGACTTGTCTGATGTACTAAGCCTCTCACTCGCACTAGAATTCTACCCCAACAATAAACATTATTCAGTAGCTATTCAGATCAGATATGTATGTGTGAGAAGAAGAAATACAGTAAGTGGTAGCTCAGTCTGTCAGCAACATATCTATCGGTTAGCTACCACGTTTACAAATGTGGTTAAAAGTAGAGCAGTTATCATGTTGCAGTAACTTAGAGCATTGCACTCAATGAAACTTACTGTATTAAGTCCATTATACCTTCAGCATAATCTACAGTATCATAAAATAAAAAATGTAAACATTGTTGAAATATCCTACTAGGGTAAGGATCTACCCTACAGCAACTCTCTGGACGGGTTTCACAGGTACTTGAGAAGATAAAGAAATGGTGTGACTGTAATATACTATCTCTGAATTTGGATAAAATAAGAATGTAATTATGTAAGAATGTTAACACTGTTATAATTCTTTAGTATATTACTTGTGTGGTGTAGAAGAGAATTATCTATGTAGAGATACTGCTTGCAAACCAATGATGGTAAGATGATGTCATGGGGTAGGACTGGATAAGTCTGACTTCTTCCTACTCCATTCAAGCATGTTCTAGGTATAAGCAAATTGATATTGGATTAGCATTTGTTGGATATGTGTAAAATGATGTGTGTTGACATATCAACTGTCTTTACATGCTTGAAAGAATAAATCAAATCAAATCTACCACCATTTTCAACGAGCCTGCAGGCATCCTGCACAGATGTAGTATCAGTTTCACATCAAGGGCTGATCCAGACTGTAAAAGGCACCACACACACTGTACAGTACATAGTTTTATCATACACCTCATATTCATGAATTCTGAATTTGTAGTCCTCTTTTAATGCATCTGCAGCTCATGCCCCAGTGTTTCTGCAGTCCAGGCTGTGTTGCTTACCCGATGCTGTCTCATTTTTAAGAAATTCCTAAATAAATTTAACATTAATTAGTAGGAAAAAGTCAGTAAAACAAAATGATTACATGACATAATTAAAACAACCATTTAGTCATATAATACAGAACATTACAATGTTCTTATAGTTTAGGAGGAGCAAGTATGCTTGCAGGGTTTAGCATGGACAAAAGAGAAAGAAAATGTAACCAATAGCAACCAGAAGTAATAATATACTTGTTTGCTTTGTCAAAACACTAGATGGCGCCATATGTTATGCTGGGGTTACTGTGAATTTCCCACCAGTCTGGTTTACTAATGTCTGTTTTGTGTTAGTTTCCTGTGCTTATTCTGTTGCATTGGCTTGATGTTTCTATAAAATAATGTCTCTGACAAGTAGAGGCGCCCTGATCTCAACAGCATGTAGTCAGTCTATGTTTACTTGAAGAGACAGAAAACAATGAGACAGCCTAAACACACAGAAGAACTGTGGCAGGTTCTCCAGGAACAACCCACCTGCCAAGTACCTTGAAAAGCTGTGTAGGTGTATTGCCATTTTAAAGGCAAATGGTGGTCACACCAACTGCTGATTGATTTATTTGTGTGTGTGTGTGTGTGTGTGTGCATGTTTACTGAATTTTAAAGTTAACAGATACATTTTAAAAAGTATTCAAGGCATTGTTTTTGATTACATTGTCACATTACTTTTAGTGTCTTTAGTGCACTCTTGACTCTTATATAGCCCCAAAGAGACTCAGACAGGTATTCAGATATTAGGTCACATGAAACCTTATTTACAGGTGCTCTTCATCCAGCACTGGTGTAAACATGTCTATTAGTTGTACTGACTGTCTTGCTTTCTCACCACCATTCTAGTTTGGCTTGTGATCAGGGCAGTGGCTCCTGTCTGATACAAGCACATAAAAACAAATCATCAGTCAAGACTTGGACAACCTGGCCTCCTTGGCTGCACTGCCAGACATTCATTGCTCTGGGAGACGAGTCTGTTGGGATAAAGCACGCAATGAGCTGTCACCATAGTGAGAGCATGAGAGAGAGGCCCAAAGGAGCACATGACGCAGACCAACAGAAAGAGGAAATAAAGGGCCCTGATGGATCAATTTGTATTTTTAAAATTCTATTGAACATTGTGTAACAATTTTTTTAAAGCCAGCATGAGGTTTCTGATGCCGCTTTATTCAACTGTATTTTCTAATCAAGTGGTATGGTTTTGGCAGCAAGCTGGTAAATTGCAACACAAAAGCAGATTTATTCACACATTTAAGTATAATACATAAAGCATGCTTATATCCATTTAAAACTAATTACAAGATATCCAATTAAAAGAAATGGATAGTACTGTATACAGGGAAGATAAAAGTCAATTGGTTTATACAAAAATTAAAAAAATTTGACCTGCTTAAAATATACACACTGCATGCAGCCTTTATTTTTATTTTATTAGTTTATTTGTCAGTAGCACGTATTTGTCGACGGACAAGTATCTTTCATGCAGAATGCCTGGTCATATTGTCAGTCACCAGCCCTGACTCCTGTATTAACATAATGAGGAAACATTGTTCATTTTCTGTGTGTGTCAATGCTGAACGTATCAGTAAAACGTTCCCTGACAAAGTAATTGTTGCTATTAAAAACCTCAAACTTCCTCTGACTTATAGAACCAGACACATTAACTTCTCCTTCACTGATACATCTGCTTCCACTGGTGCACTGTGTCTGCACTACACAATATTCAGAGGTGTTCCTAATATTCTGACTATCTCATGTGTGCAGCTGGGAAGGACAAAAATATAGAAACACCTCTGAAAATAATGTAGTCCAGTACTACACCACCATTAACTATCACCTCAATAATAAACATATAATGGAATTTATGCATTTATGACAATTTCACCAAAAGCAGAAACATTTTAAGCTTCATAAACACAGATGTTAAGACAGGCGTGTTGCATTGAAGTACATACAACTGTACAGGTGTGCCTAATAAAGTGGCTGGTGAGTGTATATTAAAAAAGAAGAATCCACAAACCCACACACAAAAAGATATATACATATCAACCATATCATTATGACCACTTGGCTAAGACTGTGTACTCAAGAATCTGTGTGCAAGTTAGTTGGTGCTCGTGTCCCTTTGAAAGTCACAGCACAGCTTCTGTGAATAGGTTTGTTTCCATAGTTATACTGTCTGAAAAAGCACCAGCATGTCGGCCATTTACTGACAAAATATGTAAAAAGAGTGAAAACACTGGTTGTGAGGAGAAGTTAGAGATAATTTTTTAGACAAATTCAACAGCCTTCCCACTATAGGTGCAATGTAACCACTACAGCCACTGAATGTTACTCTTCATAGAGACCAACATACAGTATTTATCATTTTCAGCCATTTTAACAAAGATTCAAACAAGAGTCATTTTGCAGCCATGACTGACAGTAGATAAAGTCAGGCACACTGAAAATTAGACCTTATGATTTATTGTAATATTAAAAATGCGAATAGTTTGAAATCCCCTCAACACTTGAGATTTTGGTGCCGCAGGCGACACTCAGGCCTGTTTTAGAGGAGCTAAACGCCCCCACCTGTAGTTTGAACACTGGATACGATATATTAAGTAAAATAATGACTCCTGCAGTGCATTTGTGATTTTAGATGTTTTGTTTTTGTTTTTTCAAATCTGAACAAACACATGACCAGAATCAGGTAACATTGTTATATTAGAAATTTGCACACAACACTTACTGTATAAGACATTATTTTGGTCTTAATCTCCCCATAATTAACAGAGGAAGAACTAAATCTACAAAAAAACCCAACTAAAGCTACATTTTGGGGTCAACCCATTTATTCTGCACCTTATGTGGCAGTATTGCCTAATCACATTGCTCCTTATTCCCCCAAGCTTTATGATGAAAAATAGCTTGTCTAAATTTGAAAACATACCATATTTATAGACTCTCAAGTGTTTGCAGCAGATAGTTTATCTGCTTTATGCAGTTTTACAGTCTATCAATCAGCGAGGTTAAAAAGTCAGCGATAACCTTCAATCAGCGAGGTTAAAAAGTCAGCGAACGGTATCACAGTTTCTAGTGTCTCTAGCAGGAACCTATTGGACTTGGGCGGTAATCATGACTCAGAAATCAATCAACTTCCTGCTGGAAAGAGAAGCTGACATTCAAATGAGCATGTGTGACATTTGAGGTCTCTAACAGAACAATGGCTCTTATTCTCTGCACTACCTTGTAATTATGTTGTTTCCATCTTGTCTTTTCTTTCAGCTGCCATTCTACTCTAGTTCTCATGTTGTGTACTTCTCAGTAATCACCATCAATGGATCCTTTCTAGACTTTGTGATAAAGCATTGTAATTCGTTCGAACTGCTGCTAGATGATTTATTCACAGTTTGTGTGATGTATCATCAAACATATGATCACCACATTTGACCATATTTACAGTTTCTGTAGAATTGGTCAAATTCAATTTACTCTCCCACTGTGATCATGGTCATGGGAGATTATTGTGGTATGACAAGTGTGGGTGTCTGTGTGTACTGTATGTGTGTGTGTGCAGGCATTAATAACTGTGTGTACATATGGTGTGTACAAAAGGATTTGAATTTTTGGGAGACATTATAATAGATTTTAAACAACTCATTAAAATAAAAGCAGCTTTTGATTTGATTCATCATGCAGTGACCCTGAGTCTGCTGTAGTCAACCTCTGTTTATACACACTGTAACACTAAAACAATTGTGTGAAATTTCATATCAGGACAAAAGACAAAAACAGAGCATCAAATGAATTCATAAAAATAGATTTTGTACATTACAGGGCGGCATAGTAGAACAGTGGTTGGCGCTGTCGCCTCACAGCAAGAAGGTTCTGGGTTTGAGTCCCGGCCAACCTGGGGCCTTTCTGTGTTGAGTTTGTATGTTCTCCCTGTGCCTGCATAGGTTCTCTCCGGGTACTTCCTCCCACAGGCCAAAGTCATGCAGCTTAGGTTGACTGGTGACAAATTGCCAGTAGAAGTGAGTGTGAGTGTGGGTGTGTGGTTGTTTGTCTACATGTCAGCCCCTCGATAGACTGGTGACCTGTCCAGGGTAGACCCCGTCTCTCGTCCAGTGTCAGCTGGGATAGACTCCAGCCCGACCCCCATGGATGTGCAGGATATGTACTGTACAGCTAGCTGCTTGTGAAGGGCTGAATCAATACACGTCTGTCTCTTCTAACTGACAGGGAGAGTCAGTAAACTCCTATTGTCCTAAATCTGTTACTAATCTAGTCACTGAAGTGTAGATGGTGGAGCAAACAGCAAATAGTCTCACCACATTCCAGTACAGCCAACAGTCAACTGGACTTATTTCAATACTGGCTGAGAGAAACTAAACAGAAGTCTATGGCTGAAAGATACCATGGAAATGCAACCGAGAGCACTATATTTAATCATTAAACAGTCTATGGCTGAAAGATACCATGGAAACGCAACCGAGAGCACTATGTCTTTTTTTAACTGACTTTGGAGCTGCACTGAAGACTTTGTGTATATTTGTTTTCTCATTTCCTTCTTTGCTCCATACTGTAGCCAACAGGCAAACATTTTTTCATCAGGTATGTGATATCCTAAAAAAAGCCTGGTACCTACCACACCTAAGTTTTATGTCTGGCTAAACTTAAAGATGAATTTATTGTAACTCAGCTGCTGCACACACAAACTCAATTCCCAGAACCCGACCTGGCGTTCAGTTTGTTAAACTGTTTGATCTGGACTTGTCCTTGTTGGTTTTCGTAACACATGCTTTGTGACGTGCCTCTTATGTTAAAGCTCTAAAAAGGGGTTACATGATTTTTCTTTAGTAAAGTAAGTAAATAAGAAGTAAATAAAGCCCACATGATTGTTAATGCCTTTTATTGAAATCTTCAACACATTTGAAATGAAAACACTACTATAAAACATGTTATAAAGAATTTTATTATTTTGATTCTGCTCTTGAAACAGTGTTTGATTAATACCAAAATGAAAACACAAAATAGTTTTTCAAAGAGATGGAGATGGATTAATCAAATATATCCTTTATGCACACAAAACACATCCTGTAGATCTAAGAACAAGCACTGTACAATGGACGTAGTCATGTGTCTCTCTCTCTCTCACACATACACGTACTCAATAAGCCCTTTGGTTCTTTGTTTGACATACAGAAGACCATATAGGTCATTGCTAGAAATATCTTTAAATCTACTCAAAATAAAAACATAAAAATGAAGCAAACCTCTCTGAAACACAGATACATAGTGGAATATGTACATAAAAAAAACCTCACAAATATGTTATATTACAAAAATATAAAATAAAACAAACATTTGGTCACGTAAAAAGTCAGCCCTTGTGTGCCAACTGAAACAGTCGCTTCTGTTTCCTCAAACCTTGAACCCATAGGGGAGATCATGTTGTTACCTGGAGCTGTGGATCCATTTCTAGTTTAAGTCTCAACAGAAACTCTCCTGTGCAAATATTACATGCAAAACACACACAGAGACACGCACATCTACACACACGCACAGAACAATCACACAATCACATCCATGTAAAGTAAGAGATGACTCTTCCATGTCGTTGTTGGTGAAATGACACAGTGTTTTAACTGCAGTTTCAGTGAAACCTGACACCAGCTGGACAACAGCTAATAAAGGAGGTACACACACATACAAGAAACAGGTGCTTTGAAATACACATAAAATCACAGGAGGTTCAGTATATACAGTAAATACAACATGTACTCAGATGGAAATAGTTTAACATTTCAAAGGAATCATTGTGTTTTCCTGGAGCCTCTCATGTTCATATATTGAACATAAGAGCTGTTTTACAAGACACACCTTCTGGATTATAGCAGTGCAAAGGCAGAAAAATTATGTTTATAACATGTCAACCAAAGGCAAAGCAGAAAGATCAGTATTTGTACACATACATCTTCATCTCGGAGTCTTTCATAGAATTCACCCTTCAGTCAACACACACACACACACTCACACACTGACACATACATATACTCGTGCAACAAAGATTTTCATGTTAAAGTATTTTCCAGATGAATCTGTCAGACACATTGGGGCTGTTCAAACATAATCCTTCCTGTCGTACCCTCCACCTGCACTGGCGCTACGTGGGGTGGAGTAGATCATCCGGGGTGGCTTGTACTGCTTTTCTTTTGGCGGGCAGCTGGTACACAGCATTGCTCCACCAATTATGAGCAAGGCAGCTGCTCCGAAGCCGATGTAGAGCGAGGCCCCCAGCTCCCTCCTCTGGGCGTCAATCAGGGTGGGATTGTAGAAATCTCGGACGATGACGCTGGCAGTCCAGGAAACAGGGATGAGGACCAAAAGGCCAGCGAGGACAAAGAAGATCCCAGAGATGATCATCACTTTGGCCTTGGCTGATTCATCTTCAATGCAGTTAGTGCATTTGGCCCCGACAATGGAGATCATGACCCCCAGAAGCCCAAGTATGATAGCGACGATTGTCATCGCTCTGGCGGCCTGCAGATCCTGAGGCAAGGCCAACATGGAGTCATAGATTTTGCACTGCATCTGGCCCGTGCTTTGCATGACACAGTTCATCCACAAACCCTCCCAGATAATCTGAGCAGTGACAATGTTGGCTCCGATGAAGGCCGTCACCTTCCACATTGGCAAGATACATGTCACTATGGCAATGAGAAATCCAATGACTCCGAGGGCAATGCCCACTATCTCCATACCCATCGACATGCTGGCTCTTTGTCTGATGGCAGAGCAAAACCTGAATAATAAGTCCACAGGTTGTCCAACAAGCAAAGCTTGTCAGAGCAAAGAGTCTCCTGTTCTGTAGCTCAGGTGTCTGTGAAAACCGTGAGCACCTGTAAGAGGCTGCGATGTAGCTGTGAGATGCTGCCACAGAAACCAGAGACCCTTTATACCTCAGAGGAATGAGGAGGAGTCCCATGGGGGTGATGTCAACATAAAAAACACCATCTGTGCACAAACAATGGGGGAGGAGTGCCAGTGGAGGCAGGGCAGGTAAGAAGGGTTGTGATGGAGGGAGGGTGTGTCTTTGTGTGCATGTGTGTAGTTGTTGGGGGTTGGTCGCTGGTAAGATGGCTGCCTTTTGACCTCCAAGAAAACTCTTCATCTGTTTTCTCCCAGGAATTGTGTTCAATATCAAGGACTATCAAACTGTGAGCAAGGTGTGGAATAAAGATAAAGTAATCAAGGCATTTAAACAATGTCTGACCAGATAAATTACTGATACTCTTAGTGGAGAGGTAAGGACACATGAATTGAGTTAAAATGTAATTCCATAAACCACAGGGGAGATCAGAGAAGTAGCTTCATTCTCTGGCTACTTTAAAAGCTTTGTTGTGAATAACACACTGAGGCCATATGTTGTTGATCTTTCATTACTTTCTGGTTCCAGTCCTGTGGGTTTCTGCAACAGTCAGGATTCTATGCTGGGAAAACAATCCTGAGCTCTGCTGGAAACCGGAATAACTGCACCCAGAGCAAATATGAGGATAGAGACACCATAATAAACCATGTACCAGACACCCTTAGCACACACACAGTGTGAACGTCCAGTATCAGTTAAACTCGTTACTCTGACCAAACACTTTCTGGTTCAGTATACGTTATAAAAAGAAGGGTACTGGATGTGAGAAAAACACAAAATTCCCATCAATTTACTGTTGCTCTAAGCATTAGTTGAACATGCAGTGAAGATTAGTCAAACAAGCCAGAACATTTGAATTTTTACATCATTTGTTCAGAAAACAGTAAAATAAAACAGTGCATTCTGTTTATAGACAAGTGTAATTTACGACACATTAGTGAGATGTGATTCAAGAAACTAAATTTATAATGGAATTTTGTCAGAAATTATGCAGTTGAATAATTTTCTAATAATTTGCCACAAAATCTGCTGAATGTTGTACTATACCATATGCTGTCAACCCACTAATGCTTTCTAAGTTATACAGCAGCTAACAGAAACTAAAGGAAAGGTTGACACATTTTGTCTTGACACAACAGTCAGGAGCCCATATGAGCAGTGAAACAGCTTTTGCTTGCTGTAATCATTCCTGTTTATACTGACCATTTAAAAATACCTTCCTAATTTACTTGAAATGTGAGTGATGAGGAACATTCAAAAATACTCAAAAGTCTTTTTACTATAAAGAAATCCCTCTTTGTGTAGAGATAGAAACAAAGAGGGAACTTTTGTGCTAAGAGAGTGTCATCATAGGTTTGAGTAACAGGCTGATCCAATGGTTTGGTCTTAAGCTGAGGGCCAAACAACAGACGGGCTCTGTTTGTCGTTTCATCATGGAACATCTTCACCAGTTTAATTTTGTCAGTGTTTATGTAACAACATCACATGATGCACTTCTACCGAGAGAGCAGCCGTAACCTGAATCTTAGCGCTGGAAAGTACTGTATAAGTACTTTCACCCATGCCCTACTTGTACTTTGACTTCTACTTGTATTTCTACACTGTGGTATTCCATTTAAGTAAAAGCCACCACTGGGTGGTAATATTTGGCCATGTCCCTTTTATTCACAGAGGAGTTCAAAGATTAAGTTAAAAATTATTTTGTGAATGTTGAAAAAAGGTTGTTCGCTGTTGTCCAGAGAGGCAGAAGTAGGTCATGGGCAGCATTACGCAGAAATACAATAACAGTCTGCTGTACCTGCCAAAACATAGAGAAGTCATTTGACTATTCAAAACAGGAAAGGGTTGCTCTTTGTGGTACACACAAAAGTGGGAGAGCCATCAGATGGGACTTCCCTTTGCTGTCGTTGCACGAGTATCTGTAAGAAAATCATCTGTCACATGCATCTCTGATGTACGAGAATGTGAAAGCAACTTAACATTCCTAAAACACAGCCAACCCCCTCTTTAAGTAAAATTAATTAGGTATATTAAAAAAAACTCAAGGTCATAATATATATAGATTAAATCCTGTTTATTTCACTTTTCTCGCAATGTGCTCATATTGTCTTGATGTTTTTATTGATTTTCTGATATTAAAGTGACTGTGTTAAAAATTTTTCACTCATGACTAATATTAAAAACATTATTAATGATAATGTTAATAATCAAATTCATCCTTGGTGAATTAGGCTGGTAATATTTCACTGTAAAAAGTAATTATTAAGTTTCTAATTATTTATGATTGCAAACACTTCCCTGGATCTAAATACAAAACATTTGAATACATGAAGTCACGTGCCTCATACAACTTAATAAAAGTGAAACAAATACAACATTAACGCAAAAAAGGTTTTAATCTCTGTAGAAAATACACAGCAACATAAAAGAATGTGAAGTGTGAGATTAAAAATTAAAATCACTCATATATTCCTCTAATTCAAATGCTGACTTTACATAACATGCCTCACTATTTTGTCCATTCCACCATTTTGACCTTGCTTTGGCTCAAATTGGCTCAGCTGTGTAATGTTTCACTTTCCTGACTCAGTCTGTCTGCATTTTGTAAGAATATTAACAAAAATATTATTCCTCATTTAAAAACGTATTCAATTACATTACAGTTACACCAGTGTCCTTATTTGCTTTTAGAGTAATGACATTATGATACTTAATATGTACAGAAGGTGATTTCAGTACAATGACGAACATCCACAATAGATCCAAATGAGCGAAAATAAATATATTAAACAATGGTTTTACTCTGGGATACAAAGTCTCTTCACTGAACTCTGACAATAAATCAGTTCTCAAATTACCTTAACTGTCCATGGCCTTTTGCCTTTTGAAATTTGATGATAATTTCCCTCTGCTTGCATTAGACCAATTGCTATATGTAAACAGTATCATCACACATACGCAGAGAGCTTCCAAAACCACACATATCAAAAACAATCTACACACATTTTTGTTCCTAAATGTCCACAAAACCCCAAACACCTGCTTTTAATCTTTTCACCCTAATAGGTTTCAGTTAAACCAATAAAATGACATGTTTAGATTTTTATATCCTGAACAGGACTCATAATAGTAATAACAATGCCTTCTTGGTCCTGTCTGCTTCCATCATACATAGTCCTTCCTGTTGTAGGAGCTTTGAGCCACTGATCTCGGTGCGGCTGAGTATGCTACACGGCTCTGGGGGTTCATGCTGTACCTCGGTTTCTCTTCCTCTGGAGGGCAACTGCAGCAGAGAATGGAGCCTCCAATCATCAGCAGGGCTGCAGCGGCCCAACCCAGATACAGTGCTGCTCCGATCTCCATCTTCTGTCCAGAAGGGATAAGAGGACTGTAGAAGTCTGTCACGATGGTGTGTGCTGACCAGGAAACTGGCACCAGCTGGGTAATAGCTGCTGTGATGAATGACCCCCCAGACGCAGCCATGACCCTGGCTTTAACGGCCTCATTGTCGATACATTTGGTGCACTTGGCTCCCACCATGGAGATAAGAAGAGCCAGCACCCCCACAATGATAGAGACCACAGTGAGCGCCCTGGCAGCTTGCAGGTCCTGAGGTAGAGCCAACATGGAGTCGTAGACCTTACACTGCATTTGCCCCGTGCTCTGGAACACGCAGCTCATCCACAGGCCCTCCCAGTACACCTGAGCCGTAACAATGTTGGCACCGATGAAGGCGGAGACCCTCCACATCGGCAGAGCACAGCAGACCACACTCAGCAGCCAGCCGAGCACTGACAAACTGACACCGACAAGTTCAAGTCCAAAAGACACCATCATGCACGTAGAAAGACCTCCCCTCCCTGTGTGAATCAAAAGCTCCTTTGTTTGTTCTTTCTTTCTTCTTATGTCCTCTTTGTTGAATTGTCTCTTTCTCACAGTTCTCTTTGCTTCTCTCGCAGCCTTTAAATGTTTAAAAAATATCTGAAGGCCTTGATTTTTCCCTTCAAGGTCCTTTTTGGTGAATGTTTCCTTCCACCAGGATCCTTCTCCTCAAGCTGCTGCACCTGCTGCTGAGTCTAGAGGTGTGAGTGTATTACAGTCTGCTTCCTCCAAAAACTCTCTATTGCACGTACGTTTTATTACTTAATAGTCAGGCCCTTCTAGGAAATAACATCATTATTCAAACCAAGCCAATCAGATGAGTCTTGCGCATCAACCTCATTTGCTATCTGGATGTGCTGGCGCTCATCTGTGTGCCTTTTTCAAATCAGGAGTGTTTTTATGGTTTAACCTTTTGCCCATGGTACTGCTGGGTGTGATGCTTTATTGCTGTCAGTAGGTAATGAGTGACCAGGGCAGAACTTGTTTTGTGGTTGGTAGGTGACCACATGAAACTACCAAAGTGTATTCTAAAAGATTTGTGTCTCTGTATGTTACAGTACAGTAAAATCTCGAGATAATGACAAACTAGAAATGCTAAGAAAACATTTGATTGATACTATAAGTAGCACCTGTGAATCATCTGTTTCAGAAGATTTTGAAACTGTGTCTTTCGATTTCATGCTGATTTTATGAGTGAACCTTTCAGCAGCCCAGAGTCATAAATGCATAAAAGGTAGACTGGAACACAATGTTCCATAAAAAGGCCAAAACCGATACTGTGTCAGTCCTTCTTTTAATACCGTCTGACGTCTGTTCTCTGTTTATGACACACAGCTCACTGGTATCTGCTGAAGATACACATTCATGAAAACAGGTGGGAAGTATTGATTGTGTATGAGAGGAAAGACTTAACAACATTGTGTCTGAGGTCATGTTCACTCTATGTGTGTATTATTTCTGTAAACACTTTTGGAATGTTGTGTAAATCAGGTCCAATGGACTCTGGCTTGTGAGTCTACCTGCTGCCATTATCACAGTCTGAACTACTTTTATCTTCTGTTTGTGTACACATGAACACATTTCAGTACTAGTCAAACACGTCTACCACAGAATGGCTAACCCACCAACCATGATAAGATAAAGCCCCACATCAGACGATTAATTGAGATAAACTTTTATTTAGAATGTAAGCAAACAATCTACCAACAATTCAAATCATATCAGACTGTCAGTAGTATTGAATTCTTTGTTTGCCTGTTTAAGCAGGAAATACGTGATGGTTCAGCACCAGCACCACAAAACCCCTAGTTCTTTGAAATAATAAATCATTAATTTAGAATCAAATTGTTTATTCTGTGTAAAAATGAAACAAACAGTGCTTTCTTTAGCTAACTTGGTGCCGCTTGTTATTTACCCCCAGCTGGGAACATCACTGCTGGTCCCCACGCCCACATCCCCACTGAGATGAATTAGGCCAAATACTCTACAGCAACACAATGGGGGAAATATAATGCAGCATGCATGATATAAAATAAAAGTAATTTGACTAATATCAACTATAAAGCACCAGAAAAATGTTGCCTGTATTTAAGGCAACAATTTGTCCTTGTTTTTCAAGTTTTTATTCATTACTACCAACAAGCATTGTATTTTGACTCCGGCATGGCTTTGACCATGTAAACAAATAACTTGCATACGATTCTAAACAATATAATGTGATACAACACAGTCAAAACCTACTTCAGTAGCTGTGAAAATCCTGATGGGAAATTCTTGATACAAACTTTTACTCAGTCTTAAGAGTCTATGTAATTGAATAATTCACAATTGCCTGGACCACAGTTGTTTTTATCAAACTCGGCTGTAAAATAATAGTATATACAGTAACTGTATTTATTTTATTACCTAATTTTTTTATTCTGTAAAACTGTCAAAATTTGGCTTGTTGAGATGAGAAAGATTCCACAACGGTCACAGTTGACAAGCATGAAGCTTGTGCATAACTGCCTTTAGCAATTGAAACACAAGTAATAATTTTCTATTGCAATGTACTTATTGCTCCCAATGAATAGTTTTGCCGTACTCACACTCATATCCTCGTGTGTATCTTTCAAACATCTAGCCATTCATTTCAAACCGCCTGTTTCAAAGAAAGGTCACTGGTCAGTGCTCATACTGTTTTGAAAGTGGACTCTCAGTTACAAAATCCTTTAAACAACGCAGGAAGCCGCTTAGAGATTTATGGACATATTAAAAACTACAGTTAAAAGCTCTTTGAACACTGGGTAATGCCATACTTTCACGACCACCCAGGGATCCTCCTTTCTCTTTGTGTGTAACAAGTTATGTGTTGTTTTGCTGCATTATGAGCATATAGATGAAATGTTTGGTTTCATACCCTCACACGTTCTCACAGCACAACTAAACACTGGCAATACAAATGTAGAAAGACACACAGACACACAAAAAACACACAATAAAGTGACAGAAATGTTTGGAAAGTAGAAGCTGCTGCATCCCACTGGGCAGAGTGGGGGACAGCAGAGAGAAGAGCTACACATTAGAGCTGCTTTACTCTCATGTCAGGATTACAGCATTTTGAAGTTACAAAATCCAGACCTACCAAATACGTGGTATATCATGTCACTTGCACGTACACTGATCCGTCTTGGTGGCCTTGCCCCACTCCACCCACACGTTTCCTGTGATCTTTTGTGAATAACAAACTACTGTACAGTATATTCACACTTACAATCAGCCGCTTCACAGAACACACACAGAGCTCATCTCAAAGCTGACCTCAGTTTCACATGGTCTCCAAGTTTTTCTATGAGCTATTTTGTTCCAAATCATGTACCTTAAGTCCCTAGTACCCACAGTACATGATTGCAGCAGAATTCCTTTAAGTAGCAAAATGTTAAATGGTCTTATATAGCACCTTTCTATGCATTGCTTTTTGGACAACAGCACTGAAGACTCCAATGTCGTAGATAAGGCATCGCAAACTAATAGGAACCAGGTTCAGCCTGCAAGATAATTTCATAAGCTCCCCTTCATTATAGTTGCATGTAGCTTGATTTTGTTTTTACTTTTCCCCAGTATTATTTAAATGCCAGTCTTTTACAATAAACATTTAATTTTCTAGCATGGCTAGGAACGTGGAGCATAAAAATTGTCTCTTTATGTCAAATTTAACATTCAACTTGCTGCACCTACTGTATAAGTATGTACACAGTCTTTAAACATAACCACTTAAACTCAGCTCAGCAGAACTCTGACACCAAAATGTTTCCTTTAAAACCCCAAAGAAAGGCTGGTGTAGAGAACAGAGATGCATGAGTGGTGATTTATTTTTCTGTTATGGTTTATGGACTTACTTCCTGTTTTGTGCTTTTATTTTGGTTAGTTTCCTGTCTTGTGTCACCTCACCTGCCCTAGCTTTACCCCATTTCACAATCACCATTCATTGTTTCCACCTGCTGCTTGTTATCCTCTGGTCACCTGCCTGTATACACTCCTTCCTTTAGGTTTGGCTTCTTCCTGGTTGGTTTTGTTCTCATGGCTTGTTGCCTGTCGTCTCCGTTCTCTCAGCTCATCACTCCTGCATATCTGCCCCAGTTCAGTACCAGTCTCTTGTTTGTTCCTGATTTTGTTTGGTTTGTCTCGTTTCTGTCTGAGGTTTTTTGGATCAGCAGTACTTGTATTTATTTCACTGGCTTGGTTTTGATTTTTGTACCCAGCTCCGACCTACAGTAGCTTTGTACTTTTTGTTTTACTATCAGGTTGAGCCTTGTACTTTGTTCCCGTTTCTTGTTTTGTTACATTAAAGTCCTATTGACCTCTGCCTTGGGTTGCGTCTGCATATTTGGGTCCTTCCTTTGCCCGAAACCTAACATTTTCAGTTTAAGAAAGTTGCAAAAGACCAGCTACTTTGGAGTGTAGCTTTTCTCTGCTTCTACAGTATTATTACTTGGCCAGTGGCCAGTCAGTGAGTTTGCGATCGAGTCCCTGGCTACAGATTCTTTGTTTAAATTTCTTTAGATTTAATGTCATCATGATTATTTTCATGTTTACTAAACTTTTACTGATAATCTAATATCACTTGTAGCCATACTAATGAGAGGGACCTTTAGGTCTGTGGACCTAAAAGAACCCCAGTGTTTAGAAGATTGTTTTGATATGTTAACAGCTCCAGTGGCGAATAAATTCAAGCAGCCCTGTCTCCCAGAAAATATATGCATTTAATTTGAAACAATATGTTATTGATATGGGTCCAGTCATAGCAACTTGATTCACATTTTAATGATAACGTTTAAAGCACTTAAGGATTGCTTAAGGGGAAAAACTGTAGTCTTGGTTAAACATTAAAAAGTTGCAGGAGACTTGGAGCACAGAGGCAACACATACTTTATTAACAGAAAAGCTGAAACCTTAATATTGTTTTAACTCCCCTGTAGGACTCAGGAACACTGATACCAAAGTCTAAACCATCCACTCCAACCACCCATCCTGCAGTACAACTGATTAGTATTCACATTTTCTGCAACATGTGTTTGTATAAGGTTATTTCTGGGTAACCCGGTTGAGTTAGGACATTCTTGACGTACAGTATTTTAACGGAGCAACGTGACCATATTTGGTTGCTCTAAAATGTTTGTTGGAGGTATTGTCATTTAAAACAGACGGAGGTGAGTCACCTCACACAGGACGTTACTCCACCCATGTGCTGTTTAGGGTGAAACTAGAAATGCAGGAGGGGAAATGAAGAGAGAAGACAAAAAAAAAGTTCTGTTACTGTCAAGTTTTCTTTAGATGCTCACTATATGTTAAAATTGTGCATTTTATTATGCTTGTAGTGATGCGTTCAAAGCAGTTCCACATTTTCTTTTGTTAAACCTAATAACCAAGGGTGGTTGGGGGAGGGTAAACAGGTTTTGAGTTTGTGCACTTTGGAGGTGGACCTGAAAAACAGAGTATGGTTGTGAGCTGTTTGACTCACTGGCCCCTCCTCCTCCTCAGTGAGCTGATCATATGTACCTGCTCTCATCTAAATCATCTCCCATTCAGCAGACTCGCCTAACAGAAGCCTTGCCTGCATTGCCATCAGAACGAAACAACCCACAGGCTTGCGTCACTTACAAGAACTGCAGCATACAGGGAAAATTGTACGGACTGAAGTGTGGACTGAAAAGAAGTTTCACTTGAAGGGACTCGAAGAACAAACCTACTATTCACAATGGTGTCTGCTGGGTTACAAATGCTGGGCAGTGCTCTGGGAATCCTGGGCTGGATTGGTGCCATCATTGCCTGTGCCCTTCCTATGTGGAGGGTCACTGCTTTCATTGGCAGCAACATCATCACCTCGCAGACCACCTGGGAAGGCATTTGGATGAGCTGTGTGGTCCAGAGCACAGGCCAGATGCAGTGTAAGGTCTATGACTCCATGCTGGCCCTCAGCCAGGACCTTCAGGCTGCCAGGGCCCTGATGGTTGTATCCATCGTGGCGGGAATCCTGGCTATCTTGCTTTCTGTAGCCGGGGGGCAGTGCACCAACTGTGTGGAGAATGAGACATCCAAGGCAAAGATGTACATTACAGCTGGGATTTTTTTCATCATAGCTGGGGTCCTCTGCCTCGTCCCTATTTGCTGGACGGCCAACACCATCATCCAAGATTTCTACAACCCACTGGTGTTAAATGCCCAGAAAAGAGAATTGGGTTCTGCACTCTTTGTTGGCTGGGCGGCAGCTGCTTTGTTGATAATCGGAGGAGGGATGCTCTGTGCCCACTGCCCATCTAAGGATGACAACTACACTGCCAAGTACTCAGCTGCCAGATCTAACGCCTCAGTACCAGCATCTGGAAAAAGTGGTGCACCAACTGTGTGGAGAATGAGACAGCCAAGATAAAGGTGGGCATTACAGCTGGGATTGTCTCTGCACTCTTTGTTGGCTGGGCGGCAGCTGCTTTGTTGATAATCGGAGGAGGGATGCTCTGTGCCCACTGCCCATCTAATGATGACAACTACATTGCCAGGTACTCAGCTCCTAGATTTAACGCCGTAGCACCAGCATTTGGAAAAACCTTTGTCTGAAACAGAAATCATGGAATAGCTTCTACAAAGCACTGTTTACTGGGACAGATGCCCTGGTGCTGCTTGGTTGTGAGTGATTCAAGATGTTACCTGAGCAAAACGTGCACCTGTGTGTTACTCCTCATGGGAGTTTAAATGAGAAAGTGACCACACCCAAAAAGGAAATTCAACAGATCTGTTCAAATACCTTCCATATTTGTATTTTTGTTGATGAATGAGTGATAGGTATTTTTCTTAATGATATAAACACTCTAGTCTCAAACTTATTTCAACAATGCTCATTTTTCTGTGTGTAAATGGGGTATGTATCCTGTGTATGACTTTCATGATGCACCAGCTACATTGTAAATAAATATATTGTTTGAAACTGAGAACACTTGTGCTTGTTTTTATTTTCACACCACAGCTGTGTTCAACATCCTTTCCTTTAACAGTTTATTCAACACGGGCAATGGACAGCCACTGACTGCCCCAGGGTTAGCTACAGAGCTAAACTTCATCTGGGCAGGAAATACAAAGACTAAACATGATTCATTCAGTGGTTTTAAAATGGGACAAATTATTTTATTGGGATTCTTAAAAGTAATGAGTTAACTCTTTTATATATGATTTTTCTTTTTGCACATTTAGTGAGGCATAAATGTCAATTCTCTACTGCATTACGATCATAAAATGGATCCTCACCCTAACAGCATTAGAAAAACACTTGTCTTTCTTGTGGAACAGGTTTAGGTGTGGTGGAAAAAAAATAGAGGAACCATGGCTGAAAACAGGCCTTTGTTTAGACTGCAGGCCTGCAGGCAATGGTACTTTATATAGACCCACAGGACCAATTTTTTATTTGGGAAATTATTCAAATAGCAGGAAATATTCACACTCAGTAAAACATCACATTAAATGTCAGATTTTTATTCTTTGAAAGTTACACAGTGGTTGGCAGTTTATCAGTTTAATTTTGTAAAGTGAACAGCCTTGCATGTATCTTTACTTCATTTGTGGTCTTTGTGATACTGTTAAAGACCCTTAACACACCACACAAACCCACAGTTAATATAATATATGTTCGAAGTGGTTCGTGTGATCATTGTTAACTGTGTGTCCTGCAGGCAATGGTACTTTATATGGACCCACAGGACCAATTTTTTATTTGGGAGATTATTCAAATAGCAGGAAATATTCACACTCAGTAAAACATCACATTAAATGTCAGATTTTTATTCTTTGAAAGTTACACAGTGGTTGGCAGTTTATCAGTTTAATTTTGTAAAGTGAACAGCCTTGCATGTATCTTTACTTCATTTGTGGTCTTTGTGATACTGTTAAAGACCCTTAACACACCACACAAACCCACAGTTAATACAATATATGTTCGAAGTGGTTCGTGTGATCATTGTTAACTGTGTAGTAAAAAGATATTCAATTGTTAATTCACTGTTATTTGAATAAGGATTTGTTTAGGAAACGTTTTCATGTGAGTGTTTTCCTTTCAGATAAACCCACTTCATGGTCTGCTTGAACTGAATGTTCTGACCCAAATGAAAGTGTTAGGTTTTGCTCAAGGACTGTCCTGTGTGTGTTTGTGTGTGTGCATGAGCACAAATGGGATATGGGGACACTATTCCCATTCTCGAAGCCCTGCTTGTGGTAACAAAGCTTGTATGTGAGGGAACAATGAGCAGAGAAAAAACAAGGTAGTTGGATATCAGCTCTCAGCTGTCACCTTTTGTCTAAGAACCCAGAAGCTCCACCCTGAAAGTCTGAACCACAACAGGACGCAGTTATGTTCTCACAGTGACATCTCAGAGCATCAGAGCAAAAGCTTCCTCAAGCAGGTGTGAGATCCCTCCACCAGTAAAGTCTGCAGTGTTTTTATGCAAAGAGCAACCTTGTCTTTCCTACCTGTATAGAAGTTGTGCAACCCAGAAACTCCACCCTGAAAGTCTGGACCTCAGCAAGACGCAGTTATGTTCTCACAGTGACATCTCAGAGCATCAGAGCAAAAGCTTCCTCAAGCAGGTGTGAGATCCCTCCACCAGTAAAGTCTGCAGTGTTTTTATGCAAAGAGCAACCTTGTCTTTCCTACCTGTATAGAAGTTGTGCTCTGGCTGCAGTGGCATGACCATGGCTTCACAAGGCCTCCAGGTCACAGGTATGATGCTGGCCTTTGGTGGCTGGATGTGCGCCATTGTCTCCTGCGCTCTGCCCATGTGGAGAGTCACCGCTTTCATTGGGGCAAACATCGTCACGGCTCAGGAGACCTGGGAAGGCATTTGGATAATCTGTGTGGTCCAGAGCTCAGGCCAGAGTCAGTGTGATGACTATGACTCCATGCTAGATCTCAGCCCGGATCTTCAGGCTGCCAGGGCCCTGATGGTTATCTCCACTGTGGCGGGTACCCTGGGTATCTTGCTTTTTGTAGCCGGAGGGCAGTGCACCAACTGTGTGGAGAATGAGACATCCAAGGCAAAGATGTACATTACAGCTGGGATTTTTTTCATCATAGCTGGGGTCCTCTGCCTCGTCCCTATTTGCTGGACGGCCAACACCATCATCCAAGATTTCTACAACCCACTGGTGTTAAATGCCCAGAAAAGAGAATTGGGTTCTGCACTCTTTGTTGGCTGGGCGGCAGCTGCTTTGTTGATAATCGGAGGAGGGATGCTCTGTGCCCACTGCCCATCTAATGATGACAACTACATTGCCAGGTACTCAGCTCCTAGATTTAACGCCGTAGCACCAGCATTTGGAAAAACCTTTGTCTGAAACAGAAATCATGGAATAGCTTCTACAAAGCACTGTTTACTGGGACAGATGCCCTGGTGCTGCTGGGTTGTGAGTGATTCAAGATGTTACCTGAGCAAAACGTGCACCTGTGTGTTGCTCCTCATGGGAGTTGTAATGGGAAAGTGACCACACCCAAAAAGGAAATTCAACAGATCTGTTCAAATACCTTCCATATTTGTATTTTTGTTGATGAATGAGTGATAGGTATTTTTCTTAATGATATAAACACTCTAGTCTCAAACTTATTTCAACAATGCTCATTTTTCTGTGTGTAAATGGGGTATGTATCCTGTGTATGACTTTCATGATGCACCAGCTACATTGTAAATAAATATATTGTTTGAAACTGAGAACACTTGTGCTTGTTTTTATTTTCACACCACAGCTGTGTTCAACATCCTTTCCTTTAACAATTTATTCAACACGGGCAATGGACAGCCACTGACTGCCCCAGGGTTAGCTACAGAGCTAAACTTCATCTGGGCAGGAAATACAAAGACTAAACATGATTCATTCAGTGGTTTTAAAATGGGACAAATTATTTTATTGGGATTCTTAAAAGTAATGAGTTAACTCTTTTATATATGATTTTTCTTTTTGCACATTTAGTGAGGCATAAATGTCAATTCTCTACTGCATTACGATCATAAAATGGATCCTCACCCTAACAGCATTAGAAAAACACTTGTCTTTCTTGTGGAACAGGTTTAGGTGTGGTGGAAAAAAAAATAGAGGAGCCATGGCTGAAAACAGGCCTTTGTTTAGACTGCAGGCCTGCAGGCAATGGTACTTTATATAGACCCACAGGACCAATTTTTTATTTGGGAAATTATTCAAATAGCAGGAAATATTCACACTCAGTAAAACATCACATTAAATGTCAGATTTTTATTCTTTGAAAGTTACACAGTGGTTGGCAGTTTATCAGTTTAATTTTGTAAAGTGAACAGCCTTGCATGTATCTTTACTTCATTTGTGGTCTTTGTGATACTGTTAAAGACCCTTAACACACCACACAAACCCACAGTTAATATAATATATGTTCGAAGTGGTTCGTGTGATCATTGTTAACTGTGTAGTAAAAAGATATTCAATTGTTAATTCACTGTTATTTGAATAAGGATTTGTTTAGGAAACGTTTTCATGTGAGTGTTTTCCTTTCAGATAAACCCACTTCATGGTCTGATTGAACTGGATGGTCTGACCCAAATGAAAGTGTTAGGTTTTGCTCAAGGACTGTCCTGTGTGTGTTTGTGTGTGTGCATGAGCACAAATGGGATATGGGGACACTATTCCCATTCTCGAAGCCCTGCTTGTGGAAACAAGACTTTTATGTGTGGGAACAATATACAGAGAAAAAAGCAAGGTAGTTGGATATCAGCTCTCAGCTGTCACCTTTTGTCTAAGAACCCAGAAACTCCACCCTGAAAGTCTGAACCACAACAGGACGCAGTTATGTTCTCACAGTGACATCTCAGAGCATCAGAGCAAAAGCTTCCTCAAGCAGGTGTGAGATCCCTCCACCAGTAAAGTCTGCAGTGTTTTGATGCAAAGAGCAACCTTTTCTTTCCTACCTGTGTAGAAGTTGAGTTCTGGCTGCAGTGGCATGACCATGGCTTCACAAGGCCTCCAGGTCATGGGTGTGATGCTGGCCTTTGGTGGCTGGATATGCACCATCGCTGCCTGCGCTCTGCCCATGTGGAGAGTCACCGCTTTCACCGGGGGAAGCATCATCACGGCTCAGGATATCTGGGAAGGCATTTGGATGAGCTGTGCGGTCTCGAGCACAGGCCAGATGCAGTGTGAGGACTATGACTCCATGCTGGCCCTCAGCCAGGACCTTCAGGCTGCCAGGGCCCTGATGGTTGTCTCCATCATGGCGGGCATCATGGCTTTCTTGCTTTTTGTATTCGGGGGGCAGTGCACCAACTGGGTGGAGAATCCGACATCCAAAATAAAGGTGGGCATTACAGCTGGGATTGTGTTCATCATAGCTGGGGTCCTCTGCCTCATCCCTGTTTGCTGGACGGCTATCACCATCATCCAAGATTTCTACAACCCACTGGTGTACAGTGCCCAGAAAAGAGACATGGGTACTTCACTCTATGCACTCTTTGTTGGCTGGGCGGCAGCTGCTTTGTTGATAATCGGAGGAGGGATGCTCTGTGCCCACTGCCCATCTAATGATGACAACTACATTGCCAGGTACTCAGCTCCTAGATTTAACGCCGTAGCACCAGCATTTGGAAAAACCTTTGTCTGAAACAGAAATCATGGAATAGCTTCTACAAAGCACTGTTTACTGGGACAGATGCCCTGGTGCTGCTTGGTTGTGAGTGATTCAAGATGTTACCTGAGCAAAACGTGCACCTGTGTGTTACTCCTCATGGGAGTTTAAATGAGAAAGTGACCACACCCAAAAAGGAAATTCAACAGATCTGTTCAAATACCTTCCATATTTGTATTTTTGTTGATGAATGAGTGATAGGTATTTTTCTTAATGATATAAACACTCTAGTCTCAAACTTATTTCAACAATGCTCATTTTTCTGTGTGTAAATGGGGTATGTATCCTGTGTGTGACTTTCATGATGCACCAGCTACACTGTAAATAAATATATTGTTTGAAACTGAGAACACTTGTGCTTGTTTTTATTTTCACACCACAGCTGTGTTCAACATCCTTTCCTTTAACAATTTATTCAACACGGGCAATGGACAGCCACTGACTGCCCCAGGGTTAGCTACAGAGCTAAACTTCATCTGGGCAGGAAATACAAAGACTAAACATGATTCATTCAGTGGTTTTAAAATGGGACAAATTATTTTATTGGGATTCTTAAAAGTAATGAGTTAACTCTTTTATATATGATTTTACTTTTTGCACATTTAGTGAGGCATAAATGTCAATTCTCTACTGCATTACGATCATAACATGGATCCTCACCCTAACAGCATTAGAAAAACATTTCTGGTCAGGCCTGTAGGCAAAAGTACTTCATATGGACCCACAGGACCAATTTTTCATTTGGGAAATTATTCAAATAGCAGGAAATATTCACACTCTTAATGTAATCTTTCACTGTCAGATTTTTATTCTTTGAAAGTTACACAGTGGTTGGCAGTTTATCAGTTTAATCTTGTAAAGTGAGCAGCATTGCATGTATCTTCACTTCATTTGTGGTCTTTGTGATACTGTTAAAGACCCTTAACACACCACACAAACCCACAGTTAATACAATATACTGTATGCTTGAAGTGGTTCATGTGATCATTTTTAACTAAAGTAAAAAGATATTCAATTGTTAATTCACTGTTATTTGAATAAGGATTTGTTTAGGAAACGTTTTCATGTGACAATTTTCCTTTCAGATAAACCCACTTCATGGTCTGATTGAACTGGATGGTCTGACCCAAATGAAAGTGTTAGGTTTTGCTCAAGGACTGTCCTGTGTGTGTTTGTGTGTGTGCATGAGCACAAATGGGATATGGGGACACTATTCCCATTCTCGAAGCCCTGCTTGTGGTAACAAAGCTTGTATGTGAGGGAACAATGAGCAGAGAAAAAACAAGGTAGTTGGATATCAGCTCTCAGCTGTCACCTTTTGTCTAAGAACCCAGAAGCTCCACCCTGAAAGTCTGAACCACAACAGGACGCAGTTATGTTCTCACGGTGGCACCTCAGAGCATCAGAGCAAAAGCTTCCTCAAGCAGGTGTGAGATCCCTCCACCAGTAAAGTCTGCAGTGTTTTTATCCAAAGAGCAACCTTTTCTTTCCTACCTGTGTAGAAGTTGAGTTCTGGCTGCAGTGGCATTACCATGGCTTCACAAGGCCTTCAGATCATGGGTGTGATGCTAGCCTTTGGTGGCTGGATAGGCACCATCGTCACCTGCGCTCTGCCCATGTGGAGAGTCACCGCTTTCATTGGGGCAAACATCGTCACGGCTCAAGTGATCTGGGAAGGCTTGTGGATGAGCTGCGTGGTCCAGAGCACAGGCCAGATGCAGTGTAAAGTTTATGACTCCATGCTGGCCCTACCTCAAGACATGCAGGCTGCCAGAGCCATGGTCATCATCTCTGTCATCGTCGGCGTGTTCGGTGTCCTCATGGCCGTGGTTGGAGGAAAGTGCACCAACTGCATGGAGGATGAAGTGGCCAAAGCCAAAGCCTGCATTGTATCTGGTGTGGTTTTCATAATAGCCGCCTTCCTGATCATGATCCCTGTGTCGTGGTCAGCTCATGCAGTGATCAGGGACTTTTATAACCCCCTGGTGATCGAGGCTCAGAGGAGGGAACTTGGGGCGGCACTCTATATTGGCTGGGGCTCTGCTGGGCTGCTGCTGATGGGAGGGGGCCTGCTCTGCACCAGCTGCCCCCCAAAAGATGGGAGACGTTATGTACCTGCAAAGTTCACCCCTGCTAGAACCGTATCATCAAATGCAGACTATGTGTGAGCATGTCAGCTGCAGCAGCACAAGGTGTCTCAAGAATTTCATTTAATTTGGTTTTATTTTCTAACAAATGATCCACTAAAAGATCATTTACTTCATACTTTCAAAAATGTTGCTAAGGCTGAAGAAAACTTAAAAAAAATTATATTTCACTGTGTTGATTGGGAGAGATTTCTTGCCTTCATCTTCTGAATTTGAATGGTTGCTTTACAACTCGGTAAACACTAACAACACAGCACATCAAGCCTTTTGTTTGCAGTACGTAAAGTTTAAAGGTTGAATGACTGTGGTGGTTTGAACATTTCAGATGTAGTGTGTCTCAAGGGTGACACACACTGTCAACTGTCTGTTTTCACAGTCCTCTGTTGTTGCTGAAAACAGGAAACATTTTTTAGCATTTGCATCATGAATCAAATACCTACTGTTAGAATTCATTTTAATTGTGTAGACTGAGACTGATGGACTGAATATATACAGTATGTACTATATATAGACATGTTTTTTATAACTGACCAGAGAAGTTGTGAAAACCAAGCAGTTTGAATTATTCCAAAAATCTCATTTTTTATTCACATGTAAAATGATATAATGATCACTGCTGGACTTCCAATTGCTTTTCAAATGCTGCCAATAAAGCTTCTTATTATGAATTCTTCCTCACCTGTGTTCACTGTGCAACTGCGGACACACTGTAATAAAACCAGAACTGTGTTTCACACTAACCATTCCTGATAAGGCTTTCAGAAAGTCAGGGGAGTAGACTCCTGGGAATTTATTGTCTCTGGTTGAGATGTTTGCTATGCAGTAATCAACTGTGCTTGTATTAAGATGATAATTTACAGTCTCTTTCATGAATAAACTGGAAGTCACCGACCAAGACAACAGTGGATTCACGTTGCTGAGGAACAGTTTTACATGTTTAAAGAATGGATATTTACACTGTGCCAAGTAACAGGTCATCTGCCAAGTCTTGTCAGGATGATATATTCTGAACCTGCCTAACTGTTTTCTTTTTGTTTACAGATGTTCTCAAATAAAACCAGTCTGACAAGATGTACAATACACTCCCAGAACATTTTCCCTTCTGGCCACGTAGCTGAGTTAAAATCTAATTACTAAGGCAGAAGTAGCATTAAACATCTTAAACTAGTTTAACATTAAAAATGTTGGTTACTCCTAGGTAAAAGTATGTTATCACAAAAAATGTACTTAAAATATCAAAAGTAAAAGTACTCATTAGGCAGAATGGCCACTGTCGTCATTATATTGGATAATTAATTCTGCTGGATGAAGACAAGCAAGGTTTTAATAGTCAGGGTGGAGATAAACTGAATTATTTGACAGGGTCAAGTCAAGTCAATATTATTTAAATAGCCTAATAATACAAATCACAAATTTGCCTCAGGGGGTTGACTCGCTACATGACACCCTCTACCATTAGGTAGTTTAAACTAATATATTTAATCTATGCATGTTTTTAAATAAAATCTTATTTTTTTTAAAGAAGTAGTAACTATAGTTGTCAAATAAATAATATGAATAAAGTAAAAAAAAAAAGTGTACTTTGGTATATTCCAACAGATCAGGTGTATTAAAAACAATGTGGACCAAAAAAGTCTGTTTATTGTTTAAATGAAAAACAAAATCAATCAAAACATAAATCTCACATGACAAATAATCTTTTTGAAAAGCCTATTTTGAAAAGTAATGAAAACAGAGGAAGTTAATATAGAAATTAAAGCACAAAATAAGGACAAAGTAAAAATAAATGGATTAAGCTGCAGCATTAATCTAATATGCCACATACCTTAGAGTTCCTTGTGTCTTTCAGAAACAAAAGGTCATAATGTGTTAGTCAAAGAAGTTAATTACAACACAAACCAGACATTTTTAAGCAATAAGTTTGTACTACATATACAGTCTATACAGTCAGGCACTTTCTTAAAAGGAGCTGCCTCGTAAAATGCAGCAGCTCAGACAAACTCCTTCCCTGGTGTTGTGGATTTAGGCGGGGAGAACTTTGCTCCGTTATAGCGGTCTCTTCCTGGTGGGCAATGACAGCAGAGGAGAGCACCACCGATCAACAGCAGTCCTGATGCTCCCCAGCCCATGTACAAACACGCACCCAGCTCTCTCCTCTGGGCATCAGGAACCAAGGGGTTGTAGAAATCCTTTATGATAGTATTAGCAGGCAGAGACACAGTCACCAGACACAGAGCCCCACTCAGGATGAAGAAAACGCCTGCCGAGATTGCTACTCTGGCTTTTGCCATTTTGTCCCCAATGCAGGTGGTGCATTTCCCTCCGACCACAGAGAGCAGCAAGCCGAACAGAGAGAATAGGATGGCAATAACCACCATGGCCCGGGCTGCCTGAAGGTCCGGAGGCAGGGCCAGCAGCGAGTCATAGACCTTGCACTGCATCTGGCCTGTGCTCTGCACCACACAGCTCATCCACAGTCCTTCCCAGATGGTCTGAGCCACAACAATGTTGTTCCCAATAAAAGCTGACACCCTCCACAGGGGCAGCATACAGATCAGTATGTTTCCAATCCATCCAAGCACCGCCAGCCCGATGCCCAGAATCTGCAGCCCTAAAGATGCCATTGCTGTTTGCTGGTGTTCCTTTTTTATTGCTCTGTCTAAGTTCTTTCCTGAGCTGCCAACTAATAGTTCTTCCACTCTGGGGGAAGTTTTATATGACCCACTGAGCAGCCCCCTCTTCTGGGTGGGCTTTGGCTCCACCGCTCAGACACAACTTCTCATCTTGCTGCCTTGAAGTTCAGAGGTGTTTGACTCACACAAAGAGGCCCCCTGGTGCCCCAACAGAGTTAACAGCATTGTTTAGCCAAAAGCTCTGAAAAGTCTAACATGAAAATTTACATAACAAACTTACATTTATGGAATGGGAACATACTAACTACAAAATAAAGGCACATAAGGATAGATGGGCTTGATCTAAAATGATGTCCCTTGAAATAACATTATTCTTTTGAAGGAAAAATAAATTTTTAAAAAATTACATTATGTGACCTGTGTGACTCGTGGCTTGTAGAGCCTCCATCAAAATACTGGTGTGGAAACGCTGCTCATTAGCACCAGGGGAACCCCTCAGCTTGATTAGGCTACTGGCAACATGAAATATGTTGGTAATTAAAATAGCTAAGCAAGAAAATGTCATGTTCATGGACTTCATAGACACTTCAAGATGCAAAACATGAAAATATTTTAAGGCTTGTTAAATAGAGCATAATGTTGCACCAGAGGCAATAAAAATAAAAGTGAAGATACATCCTTAATTCTTCGCATAGTTTTGGTTGAAGGCAGATTTCCACATCACCTCATGTACATAAGTCACATCATGGCTATGTGGAGATGATCCAGGTGTTTTACAGCATGGTTCAGTTCAGTTTTCAATTTTCACAGACTATGAGACAAAAATAACAAATAAGAAAGTTTAATAAAATGGCAAGAATATTTCACTGGGCTACAATTTCCAAGATAGCACATCTTTTATTTGCACACTAAAACCCTTCACAGAGTCAAAAGTCAACTAGTATTCAACCCCTGCAGGTGTGTGGTTGATAATATTGGACAGACTTAATGACCACAGGTGTTCCCAGTTTGAACAATTTTGAACAACCAATCAGGAGAAAGCACAGCCTGGCCTGTGTGGAGCATTTAAAAGCTGCAGGTGAGAAACAAAAACTTAGATTTCATTGTTACCCCACTAGTGCTGGTTTTGTGACACCCGAGACGACAATGGCATCTACAGGTCTCCAGCTTTTTGGCATTTTTCTGGCAGCGGTTGGGTTTCTGGGAGAAATCATCACATGTACCCTGCCGATGTGGAAGGTGTCTGCTTTCATTGGGAACAACATTGTGACTGCACAGACCTTCTGGGAGGGTTTGTGGATGAACTGTGTGATGCAGAGCACTGGACAGATGCAGTGCAAGGTCTATGACTCTCTTCTCGCTCTGCCCCAAGACCTGCAGGCGGCCCGGGCCCTGGTCGTCATTGCCATCCTGGTGGTCCTCTTGGGACTTCTGCTTGCCATTGCCGGCGGAAAGTGTACCAACTGCATTGAAGACGAAGAGACCAAGAGCAAGGTAATCATTACTGCTGGGGTGTTGTTCATCGTCGGCGGCCTCCTGTGCCTTATCCCTGTGTGCTGGTCTGCTCACACGATTATCACCGACTTCTACAACCCCACTGTGCTCGATGCACAGCGAAGGGAGCTTGGAGCATCGTTGTTCATTGGCTGGGGATCAGCAGGACTTCTGTTCATTGGAGGTGCGCTTCTCTGCTGTCAGTGTCGTCAGCGTAAGGATAGCCGATACACCGCGAGATACTCTGCCCCACGCTCAGCACCCGGTGCAGGAGCCTATGTGTAAAATGTCCACTTGGGGAGAGTTTTTAAACCACTGACTGGAATGAGTTCTTAACATTTGTTTTTACTTGGTGAATTTTTAATAAATGAATTTTCATAATTGCTGCTCAAGGTGTCTTGACAAACTTTTAATCCTTTTAAACTGGTTTGAGTTGGTCTTAAATATTGACCTGTTTAGTGTAGGGTTTGACTCAGCAGCTCAGTTTCAAGTTGCATCAAGGTCACTACAAAATGGTAAAGGAAGTATACCACATGTAGTGACTCAACCAAGGTGTTAGACCTAGGAAGGGACAGGTACTGCTGTTTGACTAAAACAAGCTTGAATTAATTTAGCCTACTCTAATCAGCAGTAAATCTAAATCTGGGGGGACTGAGTCCTGATGACAGCACTAATATATCAGATGAGATGTCTCATCTTTTGCTGAATTTTCCAGACCTTTTGTTTGAACAATCAAAATGGTAGGCTAATGCATTGCACCTGACAAATGGTTGTGGCTTCAGAACCATGAAATGGCTGTCTTATAGATGTGCTTTTGTGGAGAGCTTTTTTTCTATGCAGCTAGTATTGCAAAAACTGGCTATCCAGCTAATCTTGCATGTACTGGCTTTGCAGAAGGGTTGATTGAGCTTAAATGTGTAAATTGTTAAGGCAAACAAGCTGTTGTAGAGATGAGAGGGCGATGGTGAGAAACTTGAAGCCCTGCTAAACATGTCTTTGAAACCTCCACAAAGCTTACTGACATGGCTCTTATGACTTGTAGGGAAGCAATTCAGAAATATCTAATATGCTTACAGCTACAAATTGAAAGCTATTTCTAATCATTAAATCTTTGGAAAGATCATAGCTGTGAAATGATTAGTCTTATTTTGGGCCACAAGGGCTATTTTTCACATGACCACTTTCTCACAATGAACAGGAATTAGGACAAGCAGAAAACTTGATCTGCAACCTAGCAAAGTCCCCTCCCTATTCTCCGCCTCTTTATACAGTGCCTGCAGTGCAAACACGTACAACAAACACAACCAGCAGCATTTCCAGCCAAGAGACAACTTTTTGTAAAAATGATCTTCAGCTCAAAGGAAAGTGGGCTTTGACTTTGACAAACAAATACATGCCTTGAATTTCTTTTTTTTGGCAACATGGGGACTCAGATTGCAGGTTTGTGTTTGGCAATCTTTGGCTTTTGCGGCACCATCCTTATCTGTGGCCTGCCCATGTGGAAGGTGACGGCTTTTATTGGGTCAAACGTTGTTGTCACTCAGGTCTTCTGGGAAGGTATATGGATGAACTGTGTGATCCAGAGTACAGGCCATTCACAGTGCAAAGCCTATGACTCTGTTTTGGCTTTACCACAGGAGCTGCAGGTCTCTCGGGGTCTGATCTGTGTCTCCATTGCTGTCAGCGTGGTGGCCATTGGGCTTACTGTGGTGGGGACCCGCTACACCAATTTCTTTGATTATGACTTGAGGAACAAATACAATATGGGCATGGCTGGAGGTGTGGTGTTCATAATAGCAGGCCTCTTGTGCATTATTCCTGTCAGCTGGTCAGCCTACAGCATCATCTCAGGTTTCTACAACCCAGTGGTCAGCGATGCAAGGAAGGGAGAGCTCGGAGCTTCCATATATGTGGGCTGGTTGTCTGGAGCTTTGCTCGTCATTGGTGGAGGGATGTTGTGTAGCTCCTACGGATGCTGAGAGAGAAGAACGAAGTACTGTACATAATGTATTGTCATCCATCAAATACATAATGCATTTGAAAATGTGCAGTAATGTGTTTTTTGGGATGTCATTTGTTTCACTTTTTGTTTAAAGCTTTCTCAAACACTTCAACCTTTATTTGTATTGATATTTTACAACAAATCAATTTCAAATGTGAAAAATATTAAATTGTGTAGCAAGATAAAATTTTAGAATAAATTGCACACAGTAGTGTTCATGGATCTTTATAGAATTAAGAAGCCTGAATAAAGAATTCTGACATCAGTTTGTGATATTTAGACAAAATCATGATAATTTTTAAGACCTTTAAAGACCTTTATCATGTTTTATAATAATCACATACAGAGTTCCTTTATATGTAGCAACAAGTTTTGCTTGTTTTGGCTTTCAAGAAACTGAAATACAGTAAATAAAATGTTATAACATTATGAAAGAAGTTAAATTGTACCTGACACTCTGGGGGGCTTTGCAGTATCAGACTAATTTAAATTGGTGTTTGCTAAGTTGTCCAGTTGTTAAGTACAAAAACTATCAGTGTTTGTGTATATGCCCAGAATCTTAACAAACTAATAAATTCACTTGTATTAACATTTTTCTCTTTAACTATTATTACATTTTGTAACATATTGCAAACTGAAAATTAGCTGAGAGAAATGTCAGTGTTCACATGAGCTGTTTCAAAGTGTATAAAAGCCTGTAAAGCTTGACTCAATCTAGCTCAGACGTACAGCATTTGAATACTCTGTATATTTATACACAGCTCACAAACCACCTCCCTCTGATGCACATCTGCATATTTGTGTTGACTTTTGTGTCATTTGACTATGCATTACTGTAATAATATTACTTTTCCCAGTAACAAGTAGTGTAAAAGGTTACAAATAAAATTTCTGTAATTATATTACAGTTGCTTCCTCCAAAAACAAGTTACAGCATTACTTTTGTCACCAGGGCAAAGATTGATTTCAAATCCAACATTTAATATTCGCATTGACTGTAGTTGTCTCATAAGCAGTACGCTAGCTTGGAAGATGGAAGTATCTACGTGCAGCAGCTGGAAATGTTCCCATTACTTTGATTTTATTGGGACGAAAGGTGCTAAGTATGGTGCCGGATCAATGACTTTAGTCTTTGGCATTGAAAATAAAACCATAACTGAAAAAGCAAACCCTGGCATTGAAGCATTTGTTTTGAAGAAAAAAAAACATAGGCATTGAAAAATATATTAATACTGAAAAATGACAATCTTCAGATTTTTTTTTTGCTAGTCAGTGTTTTTCAGTGTCAGAATTTAATAGCATTCATTTTTGTTCAAACTTTAAAATGTGGATTTTCTTTGATAGATTTATGCAAATGCATTTTTTTGTATAACTTCTAAACATTTGTGTTATTCAGCTTTCAGCTTCTTTGTTGGTTTGAATGGTAGAATGTTCAGGATCCAACAGTGGGTGATGTTACTGGACAGTTGCTGTCGCTGAGAGTTTAAATCAGTTCGTCCAATCTGGAGGCAGCAATCTGTTGAAACGAGCCAGTCACAGGGCACTACTGGTTTCTCATGACCCATCCGCCCACACATAAACATTTGTACCTCTGTTTTTGTGAGGACAGTCACAGTCACAACAGCAACCCTGTGTTTTTTTTTTTTTTGGTTAGGGAATGTCTACTGTATAATGAAATAATAAATAAATCAGGATTTGTTAAGCCAGTTCTGAGAGAAAGAAGAGGGAGTTTCCTTCCAGGAATTCGGCATGTGTGCATTCACACACCTGCATGTCATAACCTCCCAGTATCGATTGACAGTGTAACCACTCTGGACATGATGTGTTGTGTCTGAGAACTCTTTTAGACCTACTGAGCTTACCTGTGCATACACATTCACTGTGAATGACTCTCACATATTTCAGTGATACTGTATCTAAGTTAAATGCATAATGAATTGCAACTGAATGGCTTCTCAGTTTTGAAATATAGTTTCATTTAAGCAGAAACTAAGAGAGAAAGGTTGTGTTTCCAGAGTGTTTATCACTTGGTGTCTGTTATTTCATCCTTAATGGGGCCTCTGTGTGGATCTCTGTCCTCTCCACTGGTGTGTGAATCATCCCGGTCAGGTGAGATATCTTACCAAACTGGTTTCAGTAGAAAACTCCTCCTCTATGATTCCTTGAACAACAAAACCTCAAAGTGTGGAGGCCACTATCACTTTCTTCTCTGAAAGGGTGATAAAAACCACTACCCACTCCTTTCTCTCTCTTGCAGGTAAATTACTCCATCTCTCCGTGACACACAGTCTTACACTGAGGAGATTGACAGAGCTTCAATATGGTATCTGGTAGAAGACAGATTGTGGGTACAGCCCTGGCCATCGTTGGCTTTCTGGGGCACATCATTATCTGTGGCCTACCTATGTGGAAAGTCACAGCCTTCATTAGTGCCACCCAGCTCACCTGAGAAGTGGTCTTAGGTGATCCGGGAGGGTTTGTGAATGATCTGTGTGACCCAGAATACAGGCCAGATGCAGTGCAAAGTCTACAACTCCCTCCTGGCCCTACTTCAAGACCTACAGGCTGCCAGAGCACTTGTCATTGCCATCGTGGTTAGGGTTTTTGGGATTCTTCTTGCCATGGTTGGAGGCATGTGCACCAACTTTGTGGACAATGAGATTAAAGATTATTTTGTGCCTTATTAACAGCATTTTGTGTGCGTGGGTGTGTGTACACATATATTTGTATGCCAGGTGGGGTTTAGTTCCTTTCAAACAGGTTTTTCTGCATTGTAGCTGCTACTTAAATGAAACTGGTTTGTACAAGTGCATAGCTAGAATATGTGTACACACTCACACAGACACACACACACACACACATTGAGCACTGAGCTTACACATATATATTTTTTACAATATTAAATTAATTTGTGTGTATAATTTTTTTATGATATTAGATTAATTTGTACATAATCTCTCTAAAGTTTTAATGCCATTCAGTGTTTCTGCTGAAATATGGTGGGTTACAACTATGCAGCCCCTCACAGGAGTTAATTTTATAAACATTTAATTCAGAGACTTATCATTCTTCCTGCTTTATCTAGTGCATATTGTATCCAAAATAGATGACATCACTTTTTCATAGCCACCTCTCTCTCTGCGTCCTTTTCTCAGTGAACCTCCTCCCCTTTTGTTTCTCCATAGATAAGGCGTGGTGCCTCTGCACTTTACCAGTAGCGCACAGGCAACCACTGAGTTGACAGAAAGAGAATACTCTCAGGTAGAGAACTGAAGAAGGAAGAGACAGGAGAGAGGGGGGGAAGGTGGGGCCAGCAGGTATGGACGCAAAGAGAGAGGGATGGAGTCAGTGGATACATAGACTGTAAATGAATGAAAGCTACTGGAGGCTGGACAGATGACATATAATCAGACAAGGTCCTGCATTCCTCAAAGAGATACTCTGCAACTTTGTAACTGTGGCAAGAAAAAATTATTGAAGAAGTACATACCAATGGAGGCAAATGAAAACTGCAACATCACATACTGAGAAAGACTGACAAAGAAAAGGCTCCTAGAAAGACACCAAAGAAACAAGTGACCAAAGAGACCAGGAGAAGCAGCAGCAAAAGAAGCTCCTCAGAAAAGAACAACAACACAAGAGCACTGTTCAAAGGTCTGTGAGGAGTGGTTTCAGAAATCTTCTTGCCTCTGCTACGCCATGGCCTCAATGGAGATGCAGCTGCTGGCCAGTGGCCTGTGCCTCCTGGGTTGGATAGGGATCATCATCAGTTGCCTGCTGCCCATGTGGAAAGTCACAGCCTTTGTAGGCAGCACCATTGTCACCGCACAGACTGTTTGGGAGGGCATCTGGATGGCCTGTGTAGCCCAGAGCACAAATGAGATTCAGTGTAAACCATATGAATCCCTCCTCATTCTGGGAGCCGAGGTGCAGGCCGCCAGGGCTCTCATGGTCCTTGCCATAACTACAGGCATAGCAGGTCTCCTTCTTGTCTTTGTTGGAGGGAAATGCACTCGCTTTTTGGATGAACAAGGTGGGATTAAAAGCAAGTTGGCTTTAGCAGCAGGGGCAGTGTTCATTGCCACAGGGCTTTTGTGTTTGATTCCTACATCCTGGACAGCTGGGGCTGTGGTGAAGAACTTCTACAGCACCACCATAGAGTCTCAGCGGAGAGAGATTGGAGCCTGTCTCTACATTGGCTGGGGAGCATCCATAATGCTCATTCTTGGAGGAGGTTTGCTCATCTGCACAGACTGGCCCCTTAATACCACTGAAGTAGACAAGAGCCCCTCCGTCCGCTACCTGGTGGTCCGCTCCTCCATTGGGTCCAGCTATGTAGCTTCACATCGCAGCAGGGCGCCATCAACAAAGTCCCAGCCTGTGAGGGCGCCGTTCAACCGGTCCCAAAGCTACGAGGGGTCACCCATGAAGTCTTCACTGTACACAAGGCCTTCCTGGGAGGATGAGCCTGAGCATGGCTCCAGGCAGGAGACAGACAGATCGTGGACACCGTCAACAAAGTCTCAGATGAAAAGACCAGAGTCTGCAAATTCTCAACACAGTGTGACACTTTCTACAAAATCTCAGCTAAAACGAGCAGAAATGGAAGAGAATTTATCAGTCAGCAATGAAGATGAGAATCCAGCAAGAACATACATATAATTTGGGCATACACATGCATAAAATCACACATATACACAAATGCACAGACATACAATATGTATGTATATATGCAAGTAATTTATGTTCCAAACACTAAAGAGAAGTTGTATATATTAACGGTTATTTAGAATCAGGCCTAATTAACACATTTTGTGATTGTTTGCTGATGAACAGTAGCTGAAGAGGTAGGCATTTTAATTAAGTATAATTATTTTTACACTCAATTGTGTTGTTTTGATTAAAGGACAAAAGAGAAAAGGCCTGAATTACCTTCATCAGTATGTAGGGA